AGACTGTTTTGTGCCTACTGGAGAGGGCCACATTGGAGGGTCAGGACAAGGACCAATTTGAGTGGAACCCATTCAACCAGTCCATTTCTTGTGGGAAGAAAATGGATCACTCTGGGGAAATCCATAAAAATAAAGCAAGAACATACAAATTCCGTGTAGATAGCATCACTGGTGGTGATCAGAATCCAGGATACAAACCTTCAAGCTTCAACCCACCATGCTTGTGCATTTACTTCTAGTCATTAAAACTATCGGATCATTATTTTTCTCTGTGTTTCACTGTCAAATCTGTATGACAGGTATAGAGGAGATACCTGTCATAAAGATCTAATGGTGAAACACAGAGAAAAACAATGATCCACAATATTTAATGACTAGAAGTAAGTGCACAAGCATGGTGGGTTGAAGCTTGAGGGTTTGTATAGGGCTATACATAAAGCTATAGCACAATTATAGAAAATAGCTTGCAAAATGTCAGATTGCCGAAACTCCATAAAATCAAACTGATTTCCCGTAAAAGCACTTTTACTTTGTTTTGCCTGGACAGCTATGGTTAATTGAACTACACACTTTTATCTAGGCCTGCAACTTGAATGCTGTGGGGTTTTACTGACCTAGAAATATCAGCTGAGATATTACACTTACACATCATGGCACTACAACTAAAGTACACATAGGGAAAAAAAGAAACTCAAATGGCTTACACAAAACGTCAGTTTGAGCCACCTGTATAGCTGCTCTCTTCTGTGTAGTACTTCAAATGTATCTTATGTAAAAACTGGTTTAGCTGTTTTTATTAGTTTAATGTATTAGATTACACTAAACACATATGGTATACATTGTTAGGCGAGAGCCTCCTGTGGAGAAGGAATTCATGAAATAAAGTTCCAAACTTGAAACCCAGAGGTCCTACACAAAATCTACCCAACAGCCATCAGTAGATGTTGGCACCGTAGAGGGGATCTAGGCTTCTTTATATCATACCTACAGGCACAGCCCACTTATTCAAGGATATTGAGAAACTGTAAATATACTAATCCATCTGGAGTTTAGCACTTAGATCCTCCCCCAAACCCTAAAACTCACAGTGGCCTTCCCCAAAAGTTTTTCCAAATCAGTGAAAAAACTACTGCTGTATATACTTATGGATGCTAGTAGCTCTTAAATGGAAATACAGGGTTGCCCCATCCCTTGTGGAATTACATGCAAGGATATGGGATGTTAAACAGAAAAAATATCTTACAGCCTTTTTTCATAACTCTTTAGAGCAATAGAACAGGTATGGGAGTTGTGACTAGCTACAGAAAATTATATATGCAATAAAGGAACCCTAAAGTGATTCAGTGGTGCTGTGAGCAAGAATCAATCTTTAAAGTGACAAAGTATCAACTTAAAACACTGGTAAAATTAAAGTCCAAAAATTAATTCCAATGTGATAATCTATTTACTTCCCAAAACCGAAATCACGTGTTCAAGAAAAAAAAACATTTCCCCTTCTGGGTGTGCACTCACCAAATTTCCATGCCTCCCACTCTCATGGTCGGCATATATCACTTTGAAAAGCTCCAAATGAGAAGCAAATGTGACTTTAATTTTTAGCAGTGTTTTATTAAGTTTATAATTTGTCACTTTAAAGATTGATTCTTGCTCACAGCGCCACTGAATCACTTTAGGGTTCATTTATTGTGTATATGATTTATTTGAAGGTGGCAGCAGTGTTTGATTTGGATACATTTCACTTATTCACTCGTTTTTTGATGTTTTTTTGTATGCATTTAGCGCATAGGTTTTCCTCACATATAAGCTACAGAAAATTCCCCATGACTTAAAAAGTTTTGTGGTTTTGTCTTCCTCTCCATACTTCACTTACACTCCGCTTCCTTCATCTGTACTTTTCTCTCTCTTTTCTTCTGATACTCTCTTAACTACTTCCAGTCCGGACACTTTCACCCCCTTCCTGTCCAGGCCAATTTTCAGCTTTCAACGCTATCACACTTTGAATGACAATTGCGCGGTCATGCAACACTGTACCCATATGAATTTTTTAGCATTTTGTTTTGAAACAGTATAAAGCTTTATTTTGGTGGTATTTATTCACCACTGGGATTTTTAGTTTTTTTGCTATGTAAATTAAAAAGTCCAAAAATTTTGAAAAAAAAAAGTGTTTTATAAAATTTTGCAAATAAATAGTATTTCATCATAAATCTTGGCCAAACTTTATTCCGTTATATTTTTAGTAAAAAAAAATAACCCAAATTAGTTTATAACCAAAAATTATAATTTTGAATTTTTTTTTTCTATATTTTTTATTTATTATATACTGTCACCCTAGCAGTACAGTGTGGGGGGGTAATGAAGATTTTTTTTTTTTTTTTTTTTACACTAATTGATTTTATACCCATAAAGGATGTAAAAGCAATAATTTCTCCTCTCTAGCTGCATTCTTGCAGCCATTGAGAACTACTGTGTGAGCTGTGATTGGTCACAGCTTGTCACATGGTACAAGGCTGTTGTGAATAGCCTTGTACCATGGGACCTCTGTGATCATTCACAGATTTCACACATAGTAAGCAATGATGTCACAAGTGACATCATTGATTACTACTCTGCATGTGATCACTGATTGGCCAATCAGTGATCACATGATCGGGACCTCATACAGAGGTCCCGTCCGACGATCTGCGTTCCTCTGTGTCCAGAGGACACAGAGGGCACCGGTTTGCGGTGCTGTGCGCTCCCGGGGAGCGAGCACAAGCAGGGTGCGGGGAGGCCATTTATAAACAGCCACCCGACTCTGCACTGCCATCGTCCGGCCATTTATATACAACGGCCGGACGGGAGGTGGTTAAGCAATCATCTCTGATCTACTTACTAGCAGTATTTGCTTGGCATCCTTGTTAAATTACATCATTTACTCCATGGATCTGTGGCACAGGTTTGTCCATTTTTTTTTTGTACAACCAGCAACACCCACACTCAGGCCCAATTTACTGTATGCTTCCACAGGGCTATTATGTTTCAATGACAAAGTCTTAGACTTCACTCCAGTAAGCTTTTAGTTTGTGTAATACTGTACAATCGAGAGCTCTTATTGTATTGTAATTTCTGCACTGCTTGGATTTCTGTCCAACATAAAAGTCTGTTAAACAAGAATTCTACGTTTGTTTTTTTTCTAATAAAATTTCCTGTGCACCTACTAGAAGAACAAAATTTCCAAAGGACAAAATTCCCTCTTCACGTAGCAGGGAGTATTCCGAATGTTGTGTATGTCAAAACATGTAATTTAGCAATTTGTCGCAAAACATAGTAAACTTGTTAAATTAGGTGTTAGATTGGTTTTAACTTAACTACTTGAGCTCTGGAAGGTTCCCCCCCTTCTTGACCAGGCCAATTATTGCGATTTAGCACTGCACTACTGTAACTGGTAATTGTGCTGTCATACAACACTGTACCTAAATAAGATTTATACTTTTTTTTTCACACAAATTGAGCTTTCTTTTGGTGGTAGTTTTTTGTTCATTATAGAAACAAAAAAAAGAGCGAAAATTCAGAAAAAAAAAAATCAATATATTTAGTTTCCGCTATAAAATATATGCATCAAAAAAAAAAAAATATAAAAATATAAATTTAGGCCAAAATGTATTCTCGTACATGTCTTTGGTAAACAAAAAAATCCCAATAAGGGTATTTTGATTGGTTTGTGTGAGAGTTATAACATCTACAAACTATGGTATATATACTGGAATTTTTATTAGTAATGGCAGTGATCAGGAACTTATAGTGGGACTGTAATAGTGCGGCGGGCAATCTGACACTAACTGACCCTGGTTGGAAGGTACACCAACTGACTGACATTGACATCCCCAGTGACAATAAGAGCCAATTCACACGTTTGGTGCGGATTGAAGCTCAGGTTTCACAGCTAATTGATACAGTAGTTGTTCACAGGTTCATGTCAGGTTTACATCAGGTTCAGGACAGGATTAGCTCTCATAATTATCCTATTCACACATATGCGGTTTTGAAACGGTTCCCATAGAAGTCAATAGCCTGTAATCCGCACCTGAACCAGACTGCACTGCTCAGAAATCATACATGACTTTTTTTCAAGCTGCACTGAATCCGCACTGGCAGTGCACCGGACATATGTGAACAGGCACCACAGGAAGCAACGGTTTTTTCACATATCATGCAGATTGGATGCAGTTCAAACCGCATCCAATCCACATATATGTGAACCGGCACTGATACAGTGATCAGTGTTAATACTATACACTGTCACTGTACTAATGTCTCTGGCTGGGAAGGAGTTAACATCTAGGGGCGATCAAAGGGTTAACTGTGTTCTTAACAATGTGTAATGTGTGCTGCATTTTACTAAATATCTGTTTGTTCCTTCTCCCTTTGCATACATAAGAAACAAACAGATGGTTCCCTCTATAGAGAATCAACACGGCTCTGGACTGTGATTGGACACGGCCGATCACTCCATGAATCATTGGCTGAAACCTGCTGACAAAATCCTTCTGTGTCCAGTCACAGTGGGAGTCAGCTGGGGGGGTTTGCATGTGCGCCCGGAAAAAGGTGCCGACATACAGGTACGTGATTGTGCTTGTATGAGCCACCCACAGCAAAATTACTGTGGACGGTTAGCAGGTGTTTATATTTAACTAAGTGAATAATTTGTATATAGTCAGTTTACAAAGCAAGAAGGAAAAGTGGACAAAGGATGCATAATATTCATTGCACAGATACCTTTGATAGTAAAAAAAAAGATGTTTTATTGGGAATGTTGACAGGAACAAATGAAACAGATGAATGCACTACACTGAAAATTTGTAGAAATCTCTCATGCTCTCCATTGGGAAGTATCCACAGTAAGCAAACTCTTCTGACTTTGCAAAGTCACAAATAATCATTATAAAGCAGATTGTGGTTTCTCTTGCAATCGTTTGAGCCTGTTTCCAAACCTTACAAAATATAAATTAATCAACTTCGATTCATGAGCTGGGAGCATACTGAAGGACAAGGCGTTCAAATTCATTTTCCTGTTGTAAAAAGTTGAAAAAATATAAAAAAGTAAATAAACACTGTAACAAGAATGCATTTTTATGTAACTTAAGTATAGGTAATAATGTTACCTTGACTAAGGCAGGTCATACATTATACATTTTTTTTTTTGTTCAACCAGCATGTTGAACAAAAGAAATTGTGCCGATTTGCACATTCAAGGTGGATGGGGGAATCAATCCTTGCAAAGAAATTGTGTTCTGCCGGCAGGCAGCCTTCCCCGAGGCAGAATACAATGATCAGTGTTGCCAGCTATAGCGGGCAGCCATGATCGTTTGGAAAAAGAGCCTGACAGGTTGGTTCTACACAAAATCGATCAGTAAATAAATTAACTTGGGTACAACCAACTAGCCCATACATGGATTGAAATTCAGCCAGTCCCTGCTGAATTGCATGCATTTCAACAAGTGACTGTTTAGGCTTCAAAGTGCAAAGTAGGGATCCATCATTTACATAAGGCCAATAGCTTTTCCACACTCTGGTGACCACCATCCAAAAAAAATTGAATAAAATAAGCATGATAAAAGCAAACATGCAATCCTAGTTGTTTACAACCTGGTGCCATCAGTAGAATAAAACGTGGCGTAGTAGTTACTTGTTAATAATGGCTACCAAGTGACTATGTAGAACCTCTGTAGCCCCCAATATGGCCTTGATATTCCACATATGCTTTAAAATAAATATTTCATGTAAAGGGTTGTGAATAATACCTTAGCTTGGAATTCTTTAATAAATGGATGATTTCTGTGTCCATCCTTCAGCTGAGATACATAACGATTCGTGACCTGGGTGTAAAAGGGACATTTAAATATAAACAGTGTTTCTCACTAGTTATTGTAAGTTTATATAAAGCTCTAAAGGCAAGGATTTTGAAGTGGTTAAGCTAGAAGAAACTTTGATGAAGTGACCATATAAAAATACATCTTTTCATACTGTCAAAAGAAAGAACCTGGGCTTTTTTTTTTCCAGTGATCGTTACATATGGCAGGGGCCTCCATACTTTCTAAACAAAAGGGCCAGTTTACTGTCCTACAGACTTTAGGGGGGCTGGACTGTGACCATTCAAAGTAGCAAATGTCCCAGCATCAGTGGGAGTAATCAATGGCCCATTTTTGGTGTCAGTGGGAGGAACTGTGTCCCATTTTGATGTCATTTGGTGGGAAGAATCATGCCCCATCGTTGGTGTCACTGGGAGAACTTGGTGTCAGTGGGGGGAATTGTGCCCCATTGTTGGAGGATGAAATATTGCCCCAAGGGCCAGATAAAAGCAAGCAAAGGGCCGCATTCAGCCCCTAGGCTGCAGTTTAGAGGGTGACATATGGGAATAGCACTTATCATGTAAATGGCGTCACTTAAAAATGTGCAAAACTGCTGAATATTATCATAAAAATAAAAACCTATTACAGAATAGCTAAACAGAGTGATATTTGTGTTTAAAACTCCATATGCAGAAATCTGAATATGTGTTCCTGTGTGTGGCAATTTCAAATTTTATTTTTAGCAACTGATAGTTATGCAGGTCTGAACTAGGGAATGCAAAATTCTTTACAATTCAGTGGCTGCTTTCCCATCTTGCTCCTGGATCAAATATTCCATCAATTAGGATGACAAGCTGGGTGGGGTGGGCACCAATAAGTTTTTTGTGAAGGTTCTGGGTACTGCAATGATGCAGCTTACAAAATAAAAAATAAGAAACACACATAACAAAATACCAAAAATTTGGTCTTACCTCTGGTGGCTTGCCAATGTGCTGAGTGAGTACAATAAAATTAATCAGAGTTTCAGGATGGCTGCTGTCCTACAAGTCAGAAACAAACAATGTTATGGCCATTTTCTTTGGGTGCCTCACTAATAGACATACGTTCAATAAAGGATCATATTATGGTTATAATTAAGACCTAAGCCTAGCACAGAATTAATTATTCCCAAATAAGAATGTATCCAAAACGAACATCCAGCAATGTACATATGCTGGTTGGTTAGATTTTAATTTTTTTTTATTATAACACACACACTGAGTTGGCACAAGTATAGGCGAGTTCCAGTGAGACCTCTACCTTGTCCAGGGCTTCCTGAAGGACCCCCTCTGCATCTTCCCACTTGCCCTGTCCCATATAGCACGTGGCTTGTCCGTTCAGTAGCAGTAGAGTGGATGAGTATTTGTCAGACATTTCTTGAAATATATAGTAGGCATCCTGCAGTTTATCACCACCCTGTTACAAATAAGGAATATATATAAGAAAAGAAGGCATAAAAACTAGAGATATACCTAAAGACTAAAGGGCATCTCAGCCTAAAAAATAAATAAATAAATAAAATGCAGCTACCAGTTTATCTTCATACACAAGGATAGCTACAACTTCAAGCCTCATGGCACGCTCTGCTGTAAGCTAGACACGGCCTAAAGGTAACATTTTCCTTTCTTACTGCAGACCTTCACCTAGGAAAACAACTTATTTGCACCTAGCTCTATCCTCCTCCCTCTGGCACAATTAGATTAAAAAAAAAAAAAAAAAATGTAAGTGCTTCATTCTTACCTAGGTGAGGATGCCGATGCGCTCCCTATAGCTTATGATGACGCATGCACACCACCAGATTCGATGGGTGTGCAGATTCAATTTCAGGACTACAGAGATGTGTGCATAGATGGGGTTTCCCAAGCATGCGCCAAAGAACTGCAGGCCCCGGATCCTGACATGTCTGCGCATATGCAGTAAGTTCCATATGTGCACAGACGTGCCAGGATGCTGGGTCCCAGGGAGGGCCCTTTGGCACATCTGCACACACACACACACCATAATTTTTGTAGAGATGGAGACCTCAGAGGGGAAAAGTGAGACCAACAGTAAGGGGGACTGAAATTCTTCTGTAATGTCTTACAATGTGATACAAGGGTTCTTCAAATAGTTTCTAAATTTTTTAAAACATAATTATATATATATATATATATATATATATATATATATATATATATATATATATATATATATATATATATATATATATATATAAAACTTTTTGAAGACCCCTCCTACATTTATAACAAAATGTAGAAGATATATAGTATATTGTACCAAAAGCCAATCAAAGCCATGACAGAGCTAAGTCAAAAGGTGACCACCATTTACTGTTCAGTCTATGTCAATTGATAAAAACACCTGTTCATGGGCAACATCGAGGAGCTGAAAGTCTAAAATGTCCTGCAAAGCTAAGGTTTATTTCTGGTCTGATTATTTGGACAGATATTTTAAATACAAATATATCTTACCATAGCAATATTAACCCATGCTGTTGCAAGTTGTTAGTGTTGCATCCTCATCCATCTCAACCATTTTCTTCAGTTCTTTGCTAAATTTGGAAAACCAAAGTACAAAAGTGTCTCCAGGAATTTAAATACAACTGTAATACAGAAGCCTACATCATTAAATGTATTTGTAAATAAAAAGGTAAGAGCAAAAATATATATTTCTATACTGTATATTTAAAACTGAACAAAAGTCAAAAATACTTACCTCTGTTCCAATGGTCTGATGCCCATGAGGTCCTTTTGCCAGCATCTCCTCCCTGGCTTCTTCTGGTTCCCGGTCTTCAGCCATCTTGATTGGCTGGGGCAGGATGATGTCACTCCTGCACATACATGTGTTTCATTCATCCCGACACACTAGCACCATCCCGAAAATGTAAACTGAACTTTGCATGTGTAGCTCAGTGTACATTCTGCAGGAGATTGCAACCAGGCAAGTAAATTTATTCTATTGCAGAGGAGACAAGGTATTTCTTTTCTGCAAAAAAAGAGCCTGCCTGTTCATATTTTTTTTAACTTCCTTCTGATTTTGACATGCCATATGTTTTTTTAATCTGTGTATTTGAATTCACAGATAGACATGCCATATGTTTACTATAACAATTTAAACCTGGAGAGTTAGCCATTGGCGGGTAAATTCACCAAATGCACCATATATAGTGCTCTCTTTCATCAAAGTAGTTAAAGTGTATGTTTGGGCACATGAAAAACCATATGAATGTTTTTCTGCAATACAGGCAGCTTTCCCCATATTTTGTCTCCTAAAAATGCTGCAGAAAATACTTGTTGATCTGTTAGAATTCCAGTAAGCTCCTAACTTCCTGTGTTTGACTACAGGACACCTCCCACTATGAAGGAGGAGGAGAAGTAGGAGAGTTCTGTAGTCCAGCACAGGATTACTAGGCAGGGCTTACAACATGTTTTCTTAGGATTTTTAGTGCAACAAAAGGCAGAGGTGAATGGATTTCTGGCAGTAAAAAAAAAAAGTTTGGGCTATACATACTGTTACGTTGCAGCCAGTTTCAGAACTCTGCCAAACAGATTCAACAGAATCTATTACCTTCAAATTTGCTTTCATAATTATAAAGCTTGATTTCCAGTAGAACTGAAATCTAATGTGAAACACCAATCATCTGAATTAAAATATGCTTACCGAGCTAGATCAAGTCTGTCAATTTTCAGCAATATTTGGACTATTGTTGCCAAGCTATAATGGATAAAAAAGAACATTAAAAAATACAGTTTTTATAGATAGACAAACCATTATATGGGTTTACTTTGAAGGTAAAATGCCAGTAAACACTTACAGAGTATCTATATGCAACAACTCTTTTGTAGGAAGTAATAAAATGTACAACCCCTCCTCCCATCTCCTTTTTGTTTTTTCTCATCTATTTTTAGTTTGTTCTTCTCTACACAACTCAAATGACAAGATTTCTTAATTCTTCTACTCACATCGCAAATGCTCTCTGCAGTTTTGCAGTCATAACTGGAGTTGCTATCTACTAACCAGCTGCAAACCTTAGCAATGCTATATATGTTCAAAAAAGCTTCATCCAAGTATACAGCTCCTCCCTACCAGCTAATTCCCTTGCGAAGTAATACAGCACCCACTGCTCTCAAAAATGGAGCATCTGAACAGTGAACAGTGCTTGTAAATGTGATGTTAGGTGAGGCAAGTTACAGAAGTAGTGGTGTAAACCCACGTACAGCCATTCATTAGTATGGATGGCTGTACACAGCAGCTGTGTATGCTGGGGACAGAAATATGCCCACAATTTACGTTATAGAGGCTGATGAATGTGTGTGCACAGAGCCTAAATCAAGGCGATGATATCAGCTCCAGGCATTAACATGTTCTATATTACCATATCACTGTTTCACAAACTTAAGATCACGCTCTATGATAACATGTTTATTTTAACCTTGCTAACCTGATTTTATGTATTTACAGTGCACTATACTGTATGACTTCTGTACCCTGCTAACCTGCATATTTATTTTCTGTTTCAATTGATTCTATTAAAGTTTTACAAGTTAATGGCTGGATGCATAACAAAGAAATGGGCATTAGACAAAGATTCACAGCCAGAGGAGCTGCTGTCTCAAAAACATAAATTTTCTCATTAAGGGCACACAGAGCCCCATGTCGGTCAACAATGCAGGCTTAATTTTATGGCACATTTATAAAATGCAGAGAGAAGTCATTTACATGACTATATGACAGGTCTCATTACTGGGATCTCCTCCCAGGGGTTTTTTTTTTTCTCTTTTTAGCACCAGTTCTTTTTAAGCAGCAGTATGGCTGCAGTGAGGCCGTAACACAGTTTTATATATATCCCCTTTAGTGTCACAGTGGTTGATGCATGCATTAACAAAGCATAATTCTTACTGGCACTGAGTGATTTATGGCAGGACATCTAAAAACACAACACAACAGTCAGCAGCATCCAATTCATCAGATCTTGTCAGCCTAAATGGGGGCCACTAAACATTTATCTTGGGTCACAAGCAGCCCCATCAGCCTCAGAAAAAAAGAAACAATGTGAACAGGTTACAGTAAAACTCTGCAGCTCTGTCATAACCCCTATACCTGCTATACAACCTTTTGTAGTGATGTTACATTTTTTTAAATAAAAAAACTGAAGGGAAACACTGCTTAGAGTTGCATGCAATACATCATTGTAATCACTGAATATTTGGCAGTGAGATGATATTGCCTTACCATTCCAGACTTTCTCCTTGGTGGAGAACTCTCAGTGCAGCATCAGTATTGCCATCATGGAAATAAATTGAAGCTGCCATTAGCAGGAAGGTTGTGTTGGTGACATCGACACTCTTGGCCATCTTCTTATCCAGTTCAGAGACAATGGCATCCCTATTGTAATGAAAGCAATATGTTAAACATAGAGTGCATTCTCATAACTAAATATACATCAAGAGCCGATGAAAACTTTTTTTTTTCCTATTGCACATAACCTGATGCACGCAGACCTCTCAGGACAGGACAGTGTATGGAGAGTGACTCAGCCTTCGTTTAGCTGCATTTTGCCTGGCTCATCACTATTGCTGGCAATCTGACCTGCTGTATGTAAACAGAAATGGCTCTAGCCGAGACTATCGTACATGTACTCCCAGGTGTTGTGTCAGCCAGGAGTGTATGTAAACCCCACTGCCCTGCTGCCGCCACTGACATACATCAGCAACAGTGAAAGGGTTAAAGTACGTACAGAAAAATTGATTTGCCAGAAATGTACTTAGCTCCTAATTTCCAATTGTGGGCTGACAACACACAGCTTTTTTTGTGGAACGAGTAGTGATAGTCATGCATAGTTGTCTTTTGCTAAATTACTCAAACCCTTTCACTTTTCCACCTCCACAACATAGACACTAATTTTTCTGAAGTCCCAAGATAAGAACTAAGTAGGTCAACTAGACTCAAAGAACACATGACATCTCTAAATTTCTGATATGATAAACATGTTATTTATTTTATATTGAACAGATATACGAAAAAGCCCTGGAAGCCTGAAAACTCAGGGCACTCTATTACACAAATCACCTAGGGAAACATGTACATGACCACCCCTTGTACATCTGTACTGGTCCAAAACGAAGATGGCTGGGCTCACACACAGAGGAGCAGGGTTGGGGGACAGTTCTCAACTACAGAAACAGGTAAAGGTTGGCAGAGAAGCCTGCAGGTTTCAAGGCTTCCAGGTTCACAATATGTGCAAGTACCTCTGTGTATCTGCATTTATTTCCAGCAGCCAGTTTAGAGCCAGTTAAATGTGTTTTAAACTGCACCCAATTCGCATGACATGTGAATGAACATCGCTTTCTATTGTGCCTGTTCACATATACAGTGGGGCAAAAAAGTATTTAGTCAGCCATCAATTGTGCAAGTTCTCCCAATTAAAAAGATGAGAGAGGCCTGTAATTGGCATCATAGGTAGACCTCAACTATGAGAGACAAAACGAGAAAAAAAAATCCAGACAATCACATTGGCTGATTTGGAAAGAATTTATTTGCAAATTATGGTGGAAAATAAGTATTTGGTCACCTACAAACAAACAAGATTTCTGGCTCTCACAGACCTGTACCTTCTTCTTTAAGAGGCTCCTCTGTCCTGCACTCATTACCTGTATCAATGGCACCTGTTTGAACTTGTTATCAGTATAAAAGACACCTGTCTACAACCTCAAACAGTCACACTCCAAACTCCACTATGGTGAAGACCAAAGAGCTGTCCAAGGACACCAGAAACAAAATTGTAGACCTGCACCAGGCTGGGAAGACTGAATCTGCAATAGGCAAGCAGCTTGGTGTGCACAAATCAACTGTGGGAGCAATAATTAGAAAATGGAAGACATACAAGACCTGATAATCTCCCTCGATCTGGGGCTCCACGCAAGATCTCACCCCGTGGGGTCAAAATGATCACAAGAACGGTGAGCAAAAATCCCAGGACCACACAGGGGGACCTAGTGAATGACCTGCAAAAAGCTGGGACCAATATAACAAAGGCTACCATCAGTAACACACTACGCCGCCAGGGACTCAGATCCTGCAGTGCCAGACGTGTCCCCCTGCTTAAGCCAGTACATGTCCGGGCCCGTCTGAAGTTTGCTAGAGAGCATTTGTATGATCCAGAAGAGGATTGGGAGAATGTCATATGGTCAGATGAAACAAAATAGAACTGTTTGGTAGAAACACAACTTGTCGTGTTTGGAGGAGAGAGAATGCTGAGTTGCATCCAAAGAACATCATACCTACTGTGAAGCATGGGGGTGGCAACATCATGCTTTGGGGCTGTTTCTCTGCAAAGGGACCATGATGACTGATTCATGTACAGGACAGAATGAATGGGGCCATGTATCATGAGATTTTGAGTGCAAACCTCCTTCCATCAGCAAGGGCATTGAAGATGAAACGTGGCTGGGTCTTCCAACATGACAATGATCCCAAACATACCGCCCGGGCAACGAAGGCATGGCTTCGTAAGAAGCATTTCAAGGTCCTGGAGTGGCCTAGTCAGTCTCCAGATCTCAACCCCATAGAAAACCTTTGGAGGGAGTTGAAAGTCTGTGTTGCAAAGCAACAGCCCCAACACATCACTGCTCTAGAGGAGATCTGCATGGAGGAATGGGCCAACATACCAGCAACAGTGTGTGCCAACCTTGTGAAGACTTACAGGAAACGTTTGACCTCTGTCATTGCCAACAAAGGATATATAACAAAGTATTGAGATGAACTTTTCATATTGACCAAATACTTATTTTCCACCATAATTTGCAAATAAATTCTTTCCAAATCAGCCAATGTGATTGTCTGGATTTTTTTTTTCTCATTTTGTCTCTCATAGTTGAGGTCTACCTATGATGCCAATTACAGGCCTCTCTCATCTTTTTAAGTGGGAGAACTTGCACAATTGGTGGCTGACTAAATACTTTTTTGGCCCACTGTATGTGGTGCAGCCAGAGTGTGGATTCAGTGCAAATTGAAAAAGAGTCCTGTCATTTTTCGGAGCAGTGCGGTCTGGCTCAGGTGCGAATTCAGGCCCACTGACTTCTATGGAAATGCTTCTGAATTGCACATGTCATTCAGTTGTCAACAGTATAAAATCCTGACCTGATCCTGATGTAAACCTGACCTCAAACGCTGAACAACTACTTCATCAATTAGCTATGAAAACGAAGCTTCAATTCGCACCACATATGTGTGAATCTACACTTGCATGGTTTATGGTTCCTTTATAAACAGGAACAGTCACATGCGTTTCTAAGTGCAGTACAAATGCAATGGCAGCAAAAAATATATGTATTTCAAGAAGCCTAGTTTACAACATTGCATTGCTGTCATGTGCGTTTAAAAACATACAGCTTGCTGGATTTTTTCAGATGTGAATGCAGAGCAACATATATGAACGCACACCAACACACATAAATGCAACTCAGTAAAAAAAATTAAAAAAACACAGCAAATACATGTAAGCATGTAGGCGGAAACACACATTGAACAGGTATAGTTGAAATAAAGTCAATGACCATAACAAAACAAACACTCACCTCCGGCTTTCATTGGATAGATATTCTGCAAACATGCGCACAGCCTGCAGCTCGGGACTGGAATTTGGGCGGATTTCATCCAGAACTACGCCATACTTCCTCTGTTCCAATTGACAAAAATGTTAATGCTGAAGAATTTGTTCAAACAATCCCACACAAATAGCATAAAAATATAGAAAACAAGGATAAAAATTCAGTTTTACCTGTGCTATATATGCTCTGTACAGAAACACATCTCTTTCTACTTCTTTCTCAGGGCTTGAAAGCTGAAGAAGGCAACACAGGAAAAATATGTAGAATTATGAATTAAAAAAAAATAAAATTCTCATAATCACCAAAACACCTAAAAGCTATGTACACTACTGTGATTATTTAAGCCGAAAAGCAAGCGTTTAGTTTAACCGCTTCATTTCCAGAAGGTTTTTACCCCTTCATGACCAGGGTATTTTTTGCTATCCAGCACTGTGCTAATTTAACTGGCAATTGTGCGGTCATGCAACACTGTACCTAAATGAAATTTATAAAATTTGTTTCACATAATTAGAGCTTTCTTTTGGTGGTATTTGATCACCACTGGGTTTTTAATTTGCTTCATATATAAAACGAAAAAAAGACCAAAGTTAAAACAAAAAAACAAAAAACAAACAAAAAACAAAAAAAAAACACACACTTCCTTAGTTTATTTTATAAAATTTTGCAAACAATCTGTTGTACTCAAAAGTTTGCATACCCTGGCAGAAACCATGAAATTTTGTCCTTGATATTGAAAATATGACTGACCATGCCAAAAGAGTGTCGTTTATTGAAGGATAGTGATCATATGAAGTCATTTAGTCATTTATTATCTCATTTGTTGTTTGGTTCCTTTTTAAATCAGAATGATAACATTCAATAGCCCTGATCAAAAGTTTACATACCCTGGAATGTTTGGCCTTGGTACAGACGCACAAGGTGACACACACCTAAAAATGGCAATTAAAAGTTCATTTCCTACATCTGTGGCTTTTTAAACACTTGCCTACTGGGAACTTTTACCCCCTTCATGCAGAGGCCAATTTTCAGCACTCTCACACTTTGGATGGCAATTGCACGGTCATGCAACACTGTACCCATATGAAATTTTTGTCATTTTATTTCACACAAACAGCTTTTTTTGATGGTATTTAATCGCCACTGGGTGTTTTTTTTTTTTTTTTTTTGCACTATAAAGAAAAAAGACTAGCAAAAAATTAAAAAAAAAAAAAAAAAAGGGGTTTTCTTTATTTTTATTATAAAATTTTGAAAACAATGCAGATGTCCTCTGTCACATTTACCGGTTATCGGCAGTACTTTCCTCGCTGACAGTGTGAGGAAAATGCTGCCGATAACCGACAACTGTATTTACTTGGCGATCTACTTTGGGCACAGCTGATCACATGGTAAAAGGCCGCTGTGATTGGCCTTTTATGTCATCATGTGATCAGCTGTGTCCATGGGACATAGCAATCACAGACAGCGGCAGGTGAGTGCCGTTGAGGGCGTGCGCGTTCTGGGAGGACGTCATACTGTAGCGGTCTTTTGGCTATAGCGCGGTTGTAAAGTGGTTAAATTGCAATTAGTGTCTGTGTATAAATAATCAGTGAGTTTGATAGCTTTCATGTGGATTCACTGAGCAGGCTAGATACTTAGCCATGGGGAACAGAAAAGAACTATAAAAAAAACCCCTGCGTAACAAGGTAACGGAACTTTAAAGATGGAGTAGGATATAAAAAGATATCCAAAGCCCCAGAAAGTTTAGCAAGCAGCCTGGGCCAATCTGGAAGGATGCTGGGGATGCCATGCAAACATAGTAGCCTAAGTTGACAAGCCAGGCAAATTCACGTCTGGAGGGATGCCATGAAAACATAGTTGGTGGGTGCACAGTGTGTGAGCTAGAGAGGTCAGCTGGTGAACTGCTTCCTGTGTCTTACTGGTTTTCACGCCCCGAACCTACACACCAGGAAGTCATGAAGTTTTCTATGAACAAAGCAAGGGCTAAGGTAAAGCCTTGTTCTAAAAATCAAAGACAGCTTTAATTTTTCTGCAACATTAATGGTATGTTGATACATAGGGGAGTTGGAATTTAGGGGAAAAAAAAAAGTACTCTTTAACCACTTGGTAACCGCGCTATAGCCAAATAGCGTCCTCCCAGAACGCACCCTCCTGCGCACCCCCAGGGGTGTCCTACGGACACAGCTGATCACGTGATGAGGTAAAAGGTCAATCATAATGGCCTTTTACCACATGATCAACTGTCCAATGACACAGTAGATCACGGTGTAAATACAGTTGCCGGTTATCAGCAGCACTTTCCTCGCGCTGTCACAGTGTGGGGAAAGTACTGCCGATAATTGGCAGCTGTCACAGAGGAGATTGGGACTGATGATCAGTGCCCTACAGTGCTGCCCAGCAGTGCCTCCCACTTGTGCCATCAGTCAGGGCTGCCCGTCAGTGTCCATCAGTGCAGCCTATCAGTGACCATCACTGCTACATATCAGTGAAGCAGCAACAGTGCCTCCTCATCAATGCCTATCAGTGTTGCCTCGTCAGTGCCACCCTATCAGTGCCCATCAGCGCTGCTTATCTGTGCCACCTCATCAGCACTGCTTATCTGTGCAGCCTCATCAACGCACATCAGTGAAGGAGAAAAATTACCTGTTTGTAAAAATTTTATAATAGAAACCGAACAAAAATGTTTTCAAATGTTTTGCTTTTTTTGTTTATAGTGCAAAAAATAAAACACCCAGCGGCAATTAAATACCACCAAAAGAAATCTCTATTTGTGAGAAAAAAAATGATAAAAATTTCATATGGGTACAGTGTTGCATGACCGCGCAATTGTCACTCAAAGTGTGACAACGCTGAAAGATGACAATTGGCCTGGACAGGAAGGGGGTATAAGTGCCCTGTAGGCTACTGGTTAAAGGGTTACTATATGAAGTTGGTGTACTAGTGCAATGTATGCTCCCAATACTGACCTCCTTCTAATAAATGCTAGATCCCTGGTACTTGTGTGGACTGGCTGCAATACTTGGGGTGGCAGACCCAAAATAAGCATGGAGATCAGTAAACTCTGGATGACCATAGTTACGGTCAGGGGCGGACTGACAACTCATGGGGCCCCCGGGCAATAGGGGATCATGGGGCCCCCGGGCAATAGGGGATCATGGGGCCCCTGTGTCCTTGCCCAAACTCAAAAAAGCCTATGAAAAAGGTACCAGGGGCATCTCATGGGGCCCCCTACTGACCCTGGGCCCTCGGGCAGTGCCCGAGTTTCCAAATGGTCAGTCCGCCCCTGGTTACGTGTCTGTGGCAGGTCAATGACTAAACGTGGTCCATGACAGCCAGGCAATCAGCATTTTCAGAAGGAGGGGACTGCAATGGCATTCTCCTAGGATGGGTATAGACCCTTGGGAGCAAAGCAAGGGCTCACAAGGAAACCCCCCCTATTCTGTCCTCTTCTCAGACTTCCCAGGGACAACCTACCCAGTGTCAGGCCGACATTAGCTGACACCTACCTTCACTTTCTGAGCCTCGTTAATGCTCTGCTGGTAACTTCCGATATAGAACCAATTCTTCACATCGAACAACTCATCTACTTCTCCCTGGGCGGCCATCTCTATACCGGACACGTCACCCGGTCTCTCCAATACTACTTCCTGCTGTCTGCACGTTCACTTCCGCCCAGCTGTAGTCTTCGGGATAGGAGGCGGGGACTGGCACCCAGCAGCCAATGGAGCCCAGCGCTTTCTCATGAGGACAATTGTCTGTACCGGAAGTAGTGACACTAGTCACACGTGAAGCCAAAGATGGAAGGTTTGCTAAGTTGGGGCTGTCATCATGGCTCATAGAACAGTGCAGACAGGTGGGGATCTGCAAACCCAACGCGGTCCAGGAGAACTGTATACCGCCCATCCTAGACGGTGAGTACATTCGAAGAATGACCACAGACACCTGACTGCACTGATATTCTGGGGTACTTCCAAAAGAGGCTCATTTGTTTACACTCGTGTATATTGCACTGAAGTGGAGTGTAGTCAAGTGGATGCTGATCACCAGCAGCACAGCAGAGAGAAGTCCGAATCCCAGCATATTCCTTTGTTGTCTAATGTATTTATGCCGGGAATGTATCAGTATCATCGTTGTAGTGCTAGGCTGGGGATGTACTGAACTGCACATTGGGATGATGGCATGATTGGCTGCAATGCTCAGCACTCTCATTAGGTGGCAGGATATTTTTACACACATACAGGTAACACTCGAAAAATTAGAATATCGTGCAAACGTTCATTTATTTCAGTAATGCAACTTAAAAGGTGAAACTAATATATGAGATAGACTCATTACATGCAAAGCAAGATAGTTCAAGCTGTGATTTGTCATAATTGTGATGATTATGGCTTACAGCTCATGAAAACCCCAAACCCCAAATCCACAATCTCAGAAAATTAGAATATTACATGCAATCAATAAAACAAGGATTGTACATAGAACAATATCAGACCTCTGAAAAGTATAAGCATGCAAATGTACTCAGTACTTGGTTTGGGCCCCTTTTGCAGAAATTACTGCCTCAATGCGGCGTGGCATAGAAGCTATCAGCCTGTGGCACTGCTGAGGTGTTATGGAAGACCAGGATGCTTCAATAGCGGCCTTCAGCTCTTCTGCACTGTTCGGTCTCATGTCTGTCATCTTTCTCTTGGCAATGCTCCATAGATTCTCTATGGGGTTCAGGTCAGGCAAGTTTGCTGGCCAATCAAGCACAGTAATCCCACGGTCATTGAACCAGGTTTTGGTGCTTTTGGCAGTGTGGGCAGGTGCCAAGTCCTGCTGGAAAATGAAGTCAGCATCCCCATAAAGCTCGTCTGCGGAAGGAAGCATGAAATGCTCCAAAATCTGCTGGTAGACGGCTGCATTGACCTTGGACTTAATGAAGCACAGTGGACCAACACCAGCAGATGACATGGATCCCCAAATCAACACAGACTGTGGAAACTTCACACTGGACTTAAAGCATCTTGCAGTGTGTGTGCCTCTCCATTCTTCCTCCATACTCTGGGTCCTTGGTTTCCAAATGAGATGGAAAAGTTGCTCTCATCAGAAAAGAGGACTTGGACCACTGAGCAACAGACCAAGTCTGTTTTTCTCTAGCCCAGGTAAGACGCTTCTGACGTTGTTTGTTGTTCAGGAGCGGCTTGACAAGAGGAATACGACATTTGAAGCCCATGTCCAGGATCCGTCTGTGTGTGTGTGTGGCTCTTGATGCACTGACTCCAGCCTCAGTCCTCTCCTTGTGAAAGTCCCCAACACTGAATGGCCTTTTCCTGACAATCCTCGCCAGGCTGCGGTCATCCCTGCTGCTTGTGCACCTTTTTCTTCCACACAACTTTCTATTAATGTGCTTTGATACAGCACTTTGGGAACATCCAACTTCTTTTGCAATTACCTTTTGAGGCTTTCCCTCCTTATGGATGGTGTCAATGATGGTTTTCTGCACAACTGTCAGGTCAGCAGTCTTTCCCATGATTAGGCTGAACCAGACTGAGAGACCTTTTAAAGGCTCAGGAACCCTTTGCAGGTGCTATGGCTTAATTAGCTGATTAGAGTGGGACACTTTGAGCCTAGAATATTGCACCTTTTCACAATATTCTAATTTTCTGAGATTGTGGATTTGGGGTTTTCATGAGCTGTAAGCCATAATCATCACAATTATGACAAATCACAGCTTGAACTATCTTGCTTTGCATGTAATGAGTCTATCTCATATATTAGTTTCACCTTTTAAATTGCATTACTGAAATAAATGAACGATATTCTAATTTTTCGAGTTTCACCTGTATATGGTAATGATTTTGTTGTTACTCAAATATTTTTCTTTTCTGCAGTTCTTGATACTATGTTGTAAGTAGTAGTAGCTAATGTTTTACTCTTCACTTACTGATATATGTGCAGCTGGAAAATGGCATCATAGTAAATTATACAGAAGTAATGGAAACATTACTCCAATATATTAATAGGAATAGATTTACTGATTTCATACAGTACATGTATGCGTAAAGCACTACATATTGAACTGTTTTATTAGGAACCTGGAAAATTATGTTTAAAAAATGTATACTGAAAACAAAGATTACAAACGCCAAGTAAAAAAATTATTGCATTTCTGATAACAATGAGGTTATTATTGATCTGCATGGGGATTGTGGCTGGAATATAATGGTTACACATCCCATACAAATTACATTTCACCTTTTTAGATACAAATATGGGTAAAATTACTTTTAATTATGGGGGGAGGGGGAAATCATGGTACTCTTAACCTATTTCGGATAAGCAAATGCATATATTTATTTTTCTACATGGGGATTATGGGTGCATTTTTGTGGATACACATGCCAAGGATCATATTTGATCTACTTCTGAAAAGAAATGGCATGGTTAAACATGCCTAGGAACAAATTTGACCCCTTTCTGATAATATGAGAATAACTTTTTTTTCAACATGGGGATTATGGGTGGATTATTGTGGATACACATGCCAAGAACGATATTTACCCATTTCTGAAATTATTATGAGTATAGTTATTTTTCTACATGGATAATATGGGTGGAATATCATGGTAAACATGCCTAGGAACACATTTCACCCCTTTCTGATAAAAATGAGAATAGTTATTTTTCTACATGGGGATTATGGGTTTATTATTGTGGATACACATATCAAGAACCATATTTGACTTTCTTCTGAAAAAGATTAAGGGCATAATTCTTTTTCTACATGGGGATTATGGGTGGGAATAACATGGTAAACGTGCCTAGGAACACATTTGGCTTGTTTCTGATAATGATATGATAGTTGTTTTTTTACAGGGGGATTATTGTGAATACACATGCCAATGACCATATCTGACCTTTTTCTGAAATAATTATAGGTATAGTTATTTTTCTACATGGGTAATATGGGTAGAATATCATAAAAAATATGCTCAGGAACACATTTGTCTTGTTTCTGAAAAGAATATGAGAATAGCTATTTTTCTACATGGGGATTATGGGTGGATGATTGCAGATACACATGCCAAAGACCATATTTGACATGTTTCTCCTAAGAATATGGGTATAGTTTTTATTCTATACGGGGATTATGTGTGGAATGTTTTTAAACATCATTACCATATACAGTATGTGTGTAAAAATATACTGACAGATAATGAGTGTTGAGCATTGCAGCCAATCATCCCAATATGCAGTTTAGTACGTCCCGTTAGGCTACTGTGTTATTATTATTTTACAGGATTTACATAGCGCCAACAGTTTGCTCTGCGTTTTTCAAAATGAAGACAATACAGCAACGATACAGTTCAATACAAGAGGGTTAGGAGGGTCCTGCTCCTTCGAGTTTACAATCTAAGAGAAAAACGGGTGGCCATGTAATCCTATGGAACTCTTTACACTGATTTGTAAAATCCTGCATTTTTGGTGCTGGTTTAGTGTGGTAAAAAGACACACCTCCCCATTGAAATGCATGGAAAATGTGGCAAAAAACACATCCGTGTTGCATTTTTGATGCAGTTTTTGATTCGCATGTCCTGTGTAAAACGCACTGCAAACGTGACAAAAGTGCATATGCGTTTTTAAAGTGTTTTTGCTATGGATCAGTGTGAAAGTAGTCTTAGCCCGGGTTCACACTGATGCGGTGTGGAATTCGCACCGGTTTCTGTGCGATTTCCACACTGCATCATGATCGCACCCCGTTCATGCGAACCGCTGCGGGTGTGTATTTTAAGTTAATGAAACCCCCGAAATGGATTCGCAAAACGCAGTGCGATGTAGAGAATTGGATCACATGGGTGTGAATACTTATGCGATCCAGTTCTGGTGTGGACAAAAAAAGTTTCCTACACTATTTTGGTGTGGATGCGGTGCGATCTGAGCCTTACAAAATGTATGGCTCCAATTGCACTGCACAGAAATTGCATGTCATTTGCATGGGATTTGCACAGGAATGCGATGCGGTTCCTGTGCAATTCACATGTGATGTGCTGCCCGCTTTAGTGTGAACCCAGGCTCACAGTTCTTAGGTGCTCACCTTTCTTAGGTGCTCACTCAGGCCAGTAAATATTTTTTAAATAGTTAAAGTGGTAGTAATCTGCCTACAAATAATCCTAAATAATGGGCCCCATGCAGTGTTAGGTCATAATGTACTAGTATGCATCGCATACTAGTACATTACGACAGACTTACCTGTACATGGAGCCCTCCAGCGCCACGCTGTCATGACTCTCCGGTGCTGCTATCTTCACCTGGTTTTCCTTCCAGGTTTGCAGGGTCTAGTCATATAAATGGCTGGAGCCACAATGACGTCACTCCCACGCATGCACATGCGGAGACCTTGGCTGCGGCATGGAGCTCTGAAGTAACGGCATGCTGTCCCTTCAGAGTGCATGCGCCGGTGACATCATTGGCTGCATGCTTTGTGAATATCCCCTAACGGGTGCATGTTTAGGAGATATTCACTGTACCTACAGGTAAGCCTTAATATATACTTATCTGTAGGCACAACTTAAAAAGCGGACTTTACTACCACTTTTAAAGGGCTTGGTTTATTTATTTATTTTTTGCACACTATCTTTTTTTTTTTTTTCTTTGCTGTCTATTTTTAATGATTTTTTGCTCCGATCTTCTATAATGGATGTAATATTGATAATTTGCTGGGAAGATATTAAATGTAGCACCAGGAACATTTTAAGAGTGCTGTAGGGCACAGATGTTAAAGTCGTTTTAAATCCAAAAACAGAAATGTAGTGTATAAAATGTAAAGGCTATGTTCACCTTTAAGAAAGAGAAAAAATAATCCATGATTTTACAAAAAAAAAATGCATTTATTCTAACAGAAGCCTGCAAAGCATTGCACCCATGATCAGTGGATTGCAGATACAATGTCAGGCTTTTGCAAGCACATCCTACAGCACCCTGCCCATACCTCTGTACAGGCTTTGAGTTAGAAAGCTGGAGGAAGAATGAAGGGATTACAAGTGTGTTGATCAGCTTACTCAAATTCCATTGAGAGCTACAAGCAGTCTGCCACGGTGGCAGACTGGATTTATAGTTTATATCTTCCCAGATTCCTGTGAATGAATGATGCAGCTGTGCAGGCGGAGCCCCACACTGATTTCAAATGTGACAGCAGTTATAAGGAACTCCATCCACTGTCATGGCAAAGGGGGGGTGCAGGAACATGATGCTACACCCTAAACACAGGTGTAACATGATCTAAAGTTGAACTTAGCCTTTCGGGAAGAACTAAACCCTTATCTCATTTACAGCCAAGGAAGCTGCCATCTTGGCCTCAGTTGCCATGGAGCTGCACATGTGATTAGTTATGACACCGACCATTTGATGGCTTGAGGGCATAAGCTACTGTACAGTTATACACAGCATGCCTTGAATGTAATTGTTTTGGGTAAACAGTTAAACCATTGGATCTAGTTCTGCTTTAAGGAAGAGATGCCATGTCATACAGAGGTTTATATGACACCAGCCATTAGAAGGCTTGATAGTTTAGTCGAGAGCACAGGTAACTTTGACAGTTATTATTAACATCATAGTTCGAATTTAACTGTTTTGTGAAACCGTTAAATCAATGGGTTTGGTTCTATTTTAAATATGTTGGCTGCGTTTTTTTGTTTTCTTTTTTTAGTCTTTTTTTTTTTTTCTTTATTTTGGTGTTCCAGCAGGAAGTCCTGTTATTTTTAAACTTCATCTAACAGACCAAACTGTCTAACAAAAGTGGCAGTTAAAGGAGTGAGACAGTTATCATTCACAGCATGTCTTGAATGTAACTGTTTTGCAAAACCGTTAACCACTTCCAGCCCAGGCCAATTCTGACATTTCTCTCCTACATGTAAAAATCATAATTTTTTCACTAGAAAACTATTCAGAACCCCCAAACTTCATTAAAAAAAATTATATATATATATATATATATATATATATAATTTTTTTTTAAAAGAAGAAGCCCTAGAGAATAAAATGGTGGGTGTTGCATTTTTTTTATAAAGGAAGGGAGAATATTGCCAGCACATCGAGGTTCATCAATATGGGGCCAAAAGTTTTAGAGAACGATCACATAGTTACAACAAGGCAACGTTTCGGAATCTCGCTGGACCGCTTCAGGCATGTGATGTCGCAGGCATGTGATGTCGCATGCCTGATGAAGGGGTCCTGCGAGACTCCAAAACGTGCCTTGCTGTAACTGTGTGATCGTTCATTAAAACCTTTGGACCCATATTGGTGATCTTCTGTGTGCTGGTGACATTCTCCCTTGCTGATTCTGTTGGGTTCCAGCCTACGGTCGCTGCAGCACCCACTTATACACACAGCCATTTTTAATGCAGGAACGTGTGCGTTTGGATTGTACACTTGCAATTTTTTGTCACACAGTATGTACACAGCGATTTTTCAAACACAATTTTTGTGGAAGAAATACAATTTAATGCAAAAAAACACAATATATAACCCAATTTTTCAGCAAAATATAAAAGATGATGTTACAGCGATTTAAATAGGTACCTAACATGTCACGGTTTAAAACTGCAAATGCTCGTGGAATGGTGGCAAACTACAGTACTTACAAATCTCCCATAGGCAATGTTTTAAAAAAATTTTTTACAGGCTACCAGTTTAGAGTTAGAGGAGGTCAATTTTAGAATTATTGCTCATGCTATAACATTTGTGGTGATAGTTTGTGTGGTGCGAACACAGTTTACATACGTGGGCCTGACCTACGTATGAGTTGGCTTCAGCGGACAGGGCCCCTTTCATTTTTTTTTTTTTTTTACACTGTCCCTTTAATTTTTTTGATTACTTTTTTTCCTACCACTTGAAATTTAAACATCCCTTGTGAAAGAAATAAGGGAGGACCGTTCCTCTTTATGGACACATCTTTGGTCAATAAGACCCCAGATATCTCCTCTGCCCTGGAAAGCATGAGATAAAAAAAATATATAATTTTTTTTTTCGTAATCTCTGCTTTCCAGGAAAAAAATGGCAGTGTTTACATCTGCCAGAAGCGGAAATGATGTCACAGCGTTGCTTCTTGCCTCCTAGGACCATAGAGATGACTGGGGACCATCCAGTCCATGGCCAGCTCTATGGTAACCCGGCGGCACCGCTGGATGATACCGGGCTCCCCGATCACACAGGAAAGGCATTGGCGTGCAGCAGGAGAGGAGGGATGTCCCCTCCCACTGCCTGTAAAGGCAATCCAGTGGCTAAGCTCGAAAGAGCAGGGCCCTCGAACCCCTCGTGTATTGTATTGTTACTGTCTTGTCTTATGTTCTGTCCCCCCTGCTACTGTACAGCGCTGAGCATACCCTTTTGGCGCTATATAAATACTGTATAATAATAATCAGTCGCTAGAATGGCTTTTACAAAACAGGAAATCGCTGGCTGAAAAATAGATACCAGAACAATGCCTGTAACTGCAGGCATCATCCCGGTAAAGTCAAGGATGTCCATAGACGTCCACCCGTTGGGAGGTGGGTAAATTAATGGGCTTGGTTTTGCTATAAATATGGTGGCTGCTTTATCTTTTAGATTTTTTCCCCCTCTATTTTGGCTTTCCGGCAGGAAGTCTGTTATTTTTAAACTTCCATTAACAGATCAAGCTGTGCAACAAAAGTGGCAGTTAGAGGAATGAGACAAACCATTTAACACTGACAGGGGTGCTTGTCTTTGCTATTTCTCATTTACGTAAAATATTTATCCAAAAAGGCATAACAACAATTTGCTGTAACTGCTGAAAAAGTGTTAGCTGGAGTTTCAGCTTTGAAGCGAAACTAATGTAACTACATTTACCTCCTCTCTAATGGTCCAAAGTCTGCAAGGGGTCCCACGCTTGCATCTTCTCCCCAGCTCCTTCTGGGTGCTGGTCTTTGTTTGTCTCCATTGGCTGGTGAAGAACGACGTAACTCCTTCATTTGCACAGGAGTCAGCCATCTTGGCACACAGGCACCGTGCAGCCAATATAAACTGAGCTGCAAATGTGCCACAGAAAACTACGAGAAGCCTGATAGGTGTATCCTATTGCAGAACAGATATTGCATGTCTTTTATGTGATAAGTATCCTGCCTGCTCACCAGCTTTAGTATAGATTATTTGATTATCAAGTCCATCTAAATCTGCTTGTTCATCTAATACTACCCCTCCCTAGATTGACAATGTGGCAGGTAGGTCTCTCATTTGCTCCTCCCTAGTAAAAGTAAAGGGTGGAGAAAAAAAAGAAAACTAATGTAGCCACCACATGTAAGGGATGGTAAGCTGCAATATATCTGTAAAGGAGTTGTAATAGCAGTGATCTATAGCAGTCCCATGTTATGTGTCTGATTGATGATATCAAGGGCTGCATTTGAGGCCCATTATGCCATGAAAGTTGACCATGATCACCACTGCTCAGTGGTGATCACTAAATTCTCACACCTTGAGTCTGTGGGGGACCGATGCTGCATCCATCTAAGTAAGTATAATTAAAAAAATAAAGAAATAAAAAATCCTATACTTCTCTTTTAATAAAGTTCTGTATGTGACTTGAGGGGACAAATTGAAGGTTTCACATTTGCTTTCTTTGTATGCTCTTAGGTCGGGACTGCATGGGTTGTGCCAAAACTGGCAGTGGTAAGACTGCTGCTTTTGTGTTGCCTATACTGCAGAAACTCTCTGAAGATCCTTTTGGAATATTTTGTCTGGTGCTCACACCAACCCGGTTAGTATAAACCATTTAACATCTGCTAACAGTCTATATCCTTCTCTACAAAACAGTAATTTATGGGCATTTTTTTTCCATGTTTCTGTATTTATAGTTATCCAAATACATATTTAATTAGGTTGTCCATATTTCAAGCTGTTCTAGCTAGATTTTAATCTGGTACCATCTTTTGGGACGGTATAGAAATATGCTTCTCACTAACCAAACTGTAATTTTATTTATTTATTTTTTAATAGGAATGGTGAAATAGCATATCATATGATACATACAGTTGTGTTCAAAATAATAGCAGTGTGTTGAAAAAAGTGAATAAAGCTCAAAATCCTTCTAATAGCTTTTATTTCCATACACACAAATGCATTGGGAACACTACACATTCTATTCCATTCTAAATCAAAACATGAAGAAAAATATATCAAATTTGTGTTGTTCCTCTAAAAAAATTGAAGAAAAGTGAATATTAGACTGTTCAAAAAAGTAGCCGTGTTTGTATTCTTCTTTACAAACTCAAACATTCACTATATAAACTGAAAAATGTTTGAAGATTTTGCTTTCCTTTGAATCACTTAATTAATATTTAGTTGTATAAGCACTGTTTCTGAGAACTGCTGTACATCTGTGTTGCATGGAGTCAACCAACTTCTGGCACCTGTGAACAGGTATTCCAGCCCAGGATGATTGGACTACATTCCACAGTTCTTCTCTGTTTCTTGGTTTTACCTCAGAAACTGCATTTTTGATGTCACCCCACAAGTTTTCTATTGGATTAAGATCCGGGGATTGGGCTGGCCACTCCATAACGTCAATCTTGTTGGTCTGGAACCAAGATGTTGCACGTTTACTGGTGTGTTTGGGTCGTTGTCTTGTTGGAACACCCATTTCAAGGGCATTTCCTCTTCAGCATAAGGCAGCATGACCTCTTCAAGTATTCTGATGTATTCAAACTGATCCATGATCCCTGGTATGCGATAAATAGGCCCAACACCGTAGTATGAGAAACATCCCCATATCATGATGCTTGCGCAACCATGCTTCACTGTCTTCACAGTGTACTGTGGCTTGAATTCAGTGTTTGGGGGTCTTCTGACAAACTGTCTCCGGCCACTAGACCCAAAAAGAACAATCTTACTTTCATCAGTCCACAAAATGTTGCGCCATTTCTCTTTAGGCCAGTCAATGTGCTCTTTGGCAAATTGTAACCTCTTCAGCGCGTCTTTTTTTCAACAGTGGGACTTTGCGGGGGCTTCTTGCAGATAGCTTGGCTTCACATAGGCGTCTTCTAATTGTAACAGTACTCACAGGTAACATTAGACCTTCTTTGATCTTCCTGGAGCTGATTGTTGGCTGAGTCCTTGCCATTTTGGCTATTATTCTATCCATTTGAATGGTAGTTTTTTGCTTTCTTCCCTGTCTTTCAGGTTTTGGTTGCCATTTTAAAGCATTTGTGATCATTTTAGCTGAAGAGCCTATCATTTTCTGCACTTCTTTATATGTTTTCCCCTCTCCAATCAACTTTTTAATCAAGGTACGCTGTTCTTCTGAACAATGTCTGGAACGACCCATTTTCCTCAGAATTTCAGAGAGAAATGCACTGTAACCAGCATGTACAGCATTTGCTGCCTTCCTTCCTTAAATAAGGGCAATAATTGCTGCCTGTTTTTCAAAGAATGAATGACCTCACTAATAGAACTCCACACTGCTATTATTTTGAACATGCCCCTTTCAATTAGTGATTCAATTACACAGAATCAGCAGCATGCATGTCATGACTGTTGGGTCTGTTGGATTTCTATTACTCTACTACACCTGATAGTAAATTATTTGCCATGTAGAAATATCATTTCTACCAAAAAAGTGATTGATCAGGTTAGTGATGTCTGACTGCTATTATTTTGAGCACAACTGTACATACTTCTTTTTTTTTTTTTCTTTTTTTTTTTTAAATTAGGAATGGTGAAATAGCATATTATTTGATACGTACTTTTTTTTTTTTTTATCCTGAGTTTAGATACTGGCTAGCTGTACACGCATAGTATGCCTGCACACTTGCACTTTATGTCAGACTCATCTGTCAAATGATCAACTCCATTGTCAGTGCTTTAGCGCTTCCATCTTCGCCTGGTCTTCCTTCCAGGTTCGCTCTATTCAGCTGCTCTATTGGCAAGGCTTTGATGACCTCAAATCAGCGCATGCGCACAGGAGCCATATCATCATGGAATAGAGCGGATTCAGTAATTCATGTGTGGCTCAGTGTTCATTGCTGCTAACGGATAGGACAAAAAATTTACTGCTGAATTTACTTCAATAAAAACCCTGCCTGCCAGCATTTGTTTTTTAAATTTTAATACCACTTTTACTACTTTTGTGTTGGATTAAATAAAAGAACCTCAAAGCATGTAATTCTAGAAATCTTTGCTTACCTTTCCTTTGACAAATGCTAGCTGCTTGGCTCTCATGCTGACCCACTGGCTTCAGTATTAGGACATTGACCAAGAACAGTAATGCACATAAGAACTCTTGACATTTCTCAGCTCCATACTAGTTCCAACTGGGTGACTAAGGGTGCACTAACACTATCCGTTTCAACCGTTCCTTGGTCTTCCTTAATCTGGTTTGTTTTTGTAATGTGTAAGTGCTCCAAACTGTGCCCCAGAGAGGTTAAACCTTGTCAGGGACCACTTGAAGGAGGTGTTCCCAGGCATGGTTCACTTGTGACACGTTACGCTTCAGCTGGAGGGAAAACCACACCTAAGCTCAAGACTCTCCAAAGATGACTGAATACAGAAACAGGGATCACTGTGGTCTAGCAGCAGAAGTGATGATGTAATTGTGCCAGGGAACACTTGCTTATAGCCCAGTGTATGTGCAGACCAGCTGTGGATTGTGGAGGGGGGGGGGGGTTATTTAACTCGGGCATGGTTCAGTTCAACCATGCCCAATGTGAGTGCACCAAGAGTATTGAAGCCAATGAGTAAAAAAAGCAGCCAAGCAACCTGCATTTTCTGAAAGGTGTTTAGCAGTGGCAGCTCCAATATTTGAGGTTTACTTTTTATATATAATAAAGAATTATCAATTTATATTATTATTATTTTATTTATTTTTTTTTTACACAGAGAATTGGCTTATCAGATTGCAGAACAGTTTCGAGTTCTAGGCAAGCCACTAGGTTTGAAGGACTGCATCATCGTTGGAGGAATGGGTGTGTGTTAAATATTTAAAATTCATTAATGTATTAGTCCATGTACATGTTTTTCTCTTTTTGATTAGAGTTCTACACAGGAGATTTCAGGTAACAATTTTGTTTTGTCAGTTAAATTGCTTGTTGTATGCACCATCCCTTTTAACAGTTTTAGACTTTTCAGAAGAAATTCTGTTTACATCAGTATTTAAATACTCAGGTACATATGTTTGTTTACTATATTTCCCACCTGGGACACGGCTCTTATGTTGGTATATTCACACAGTTTATGCCTGAAGAAACATTCAGTTTAAATTGGTAAAATACATTCCAAGAGCATCTAAACAAAAGGTGTACAATGTTTTTTTTTTTTTTTTTTTATTTTATTTTTTTTTTGTAGCCTTAGCCTGAGTAAAGAAGCATGTCCATTGTTAGCATGCTGTAGAAAAGGACACTTTCTCTCTGTGGAAGTAGTGGTCTCTCTGCAGTGGTCTAATGTGCTTCTTCCTGAGTTGAAGCTAGAATGCTTTAAATCAGCAGGGAGCGTGGGTCTTGCTGATTATAGATCTATAGGTCTGACTCAGCATGGAGTGTGTCCAAACACTTGCAGAGATATCACTTCTTCCAAAAAGAGCTCAAGGTCTTAATTTACACAAGGCTGGCAGGGAACAGGCTTTTCTACTCCAGCTGTGGCAGCATTTTAAAGAAAACGAACTGTAAGACTTTAAAGCTCTTGTGGTGTGATGTGCAACACCTTTTGTTGTTCTGCACCTGGAATATATTTAGCTGATTTTAAACTGAAAAAAAAAAAAAAAATGTGTGTGTGTGTGTGTGTATGTGTGTGTATATATATATATGTATATATATATATATATAGGCGCTGTTATATAATATATGTGTATATGTGTGTGTGTGTATATATATATATATATATATATATATATATATATATATATACTGTGTGTGTGTGTATATATATATATATATATATATATATCTGTATCACAGAGGTGGGCCTGCGGCATGCTCCCAACTAGTTGTCTTCATGGAAAATACAAACTCTAAGATCGTTTTATATATTTGTCTTTCAGTTGTAATTGAATCCTATTTTCTCTTAGATATGGTTGCCCAAGCCTTGGAGCTCGCCAGAAAGCCACATGTTGTCATAGCTACACCGGGTCGGCTAGCTGACCATATTCGGAGTTCTAACACATTCAGCATCAAGAAGATTAGATTTTTGGTAAGACTGATAACTTAACCTCTTGCCGACCGCGCATAGCCGAATGACGGCTTCACCGCGGCCGGCCAGTTCTGGGTGGACGTCATATGACGTCCTCCCAGAACGCGCTCTCCTGCACGCCCCAGGGGGCGCGCTCACCCGGCGATCTCCGTGATCGCTGTGTCCTACGGACACAGCTGATCACGTGATGTGGTAAAGGCCAATCACAGCGGCCTTTTACCACCTGATCAGCGGTGTCCAATGACACGCTGATCAGAGGGAAATGCAAGTGCCGGTTCTCGGCTGCACTTCCCTCACACTGTCAGATCGTGAGGAAAGTACTGTCGAGAACCGGCAGTTGTCAGAGCGGGGATCGGCACCGATCATCGGGGCACTGATGATCAGTGCCCTGATGATCGGTGCCCAGCAGTGCGCCCACTAGCTCCGCCCACCCTGTGCCCAGCAGTGCCACCCACCTGTGCCACTCTGCAGTGCCACCCACCTGTGCCACTCTGCAGTGCCACCCACCTGTGCCCAGCAGTGTGCCCACCTGTGCCCATCCACCTGTGCCCACCAGTGCCACTCACCTGTGCCCACCCCACCAGTGCCACCCACCAGTGCAGCCCAGCAGTGCTGCCAGTCAGTGCCACCAGTCAGTGCCCAGGGGTTGTGCCAGTCAGTGCCGCCAGTCAATGCCCAGCAGTGATGCCAATCAGTGCCGTCTATCAGTACTCCTCAGTGTCACCTATCAGTGCTGCCTATCGGTGCTGCATATTAGTGCCGCCTATCCGTGACACCTCATTAGTGCTGTCTATCAGTGCCGCCTATCCGTGACACCTCATTAGTGCTGCCTATCAGTGCCCATCAGTGCCGCCTATCAGTGCCCATCAGTGCTGCCTCATCAACGCACATCAGTGAAGGAGAAAAAATACCTGTTTAAAAATTTTATAATAGAAACAAAGAAACTTTTTTTTTTTTTCAAATTTTTTGCACTTTTTTATTTATAGCGCAAAAAGTAAAGCGCCCAGCGGGGAGTAAATACCACCAAAAGAAAGCTCTATTTGTGAGGAAAAAATTATCAAAATTTCATATGGGTACAATGTTGCATGACCGCGCAATTGTCAATCAAAGTGCGGCAGCGCTGAAAGCTGAAAATTGGCCTGGTAAGGAAGGGGGTATAAGTGCCCGGTAGGCAAGTGGTTAAAGCAGAACTAAATGAATCTATACTTTACTTTTCCCTTTAAAGGCGAAGTATAGCCAGAGCTCTTTTAGCTATACTTCTAAAAGTCAGAAGAGTGCAGTTCATTCTCCACTCCTGTTACCCATTTTCAACTGACAGTGGGCTAAAGGTCACTGTCAGCTGACATCACAGAGCCAGTCTGACCATATGGTCGGGATCCATCCAGAAGCCTAGACTGGCACCTGGTTTAGTCTCTCGGCAATCCATCGAGGGCCTACGTGCAGGAGGGGCAGAGCAGAGAGCCAGCGACTGAAAGCCACAGCTCTCTGCTCAGAGCGGAGGGGAGAACTGAGCGATCAGCGGTGTTTTATCGCTCAGTTCTTACTGTAGAACTGGCAGGCGACAGATGCAGCATCGGATGGATGTTGAAGCCACGTAGGTGAGTATAAATGTTTTTAGTTTTTTTCTTCATACCTAATGTTTCCTATCCCTTGCCAATGTCAGCACACTTCTCCTGGTCTTCGGCCATCTTCACTGGACAGCACAGGGCGACATCGCTCTTGTGCTCTCTCAGGAGGCTGTCATTCCAACCCACTGGGGCAGTTCCAGGACTGTAACCTGAACTGCACATGAGCAACTCCATTTACATTGCCAGAAAGACAGTGGGAAGGCAGGTAGGTGAATTTTATTGCAGAAGAGACATTGCATTTTGTTACAGCAAAGCTTTAGTTCTGCTTTAGGATATGCATAAAATAATAGCTTCTGTTATTATATAGCTAGTGTTATTGTAGTAGTTATATATTTAAGTGTAGGGAAAAATAAAATACATGTATTCCCCACTTGTAAGTAATGTACATATGCCCCTTAGGTTCTAGATGAGGCAGATCGTCTGCTGGAACAGGGTTGTACAGACTTTACTCAAGATCTGCAAGTCATTCTTGGCGCTGTTCCTGCCCAGCGACAAACTCTACTGTTCAGTGCCACCTTAACAGACACCTTGCAAGAGCTGAAGTCTGTTGCCATGAACAAACCATTCTTCTGGGAATCCACTTCAGAGTAAGAAGCAAAACATTTGCAATTTTGACTGTTTTATTAATGTATTTATTTAGCTAATTAGGAAGTTTGGCCCTATTTTGGCAAAAGGGGCTGCAACTAGTAGTAGGAAACTTTAAAAAAAAATTTTGTCAGCTTTGGACACATCACACTCTGCACATGTTCGGCATTGTTGCTGAATACCAAATTTTTGAATTTGCTCTGCAGATAGTACTTACTTTTTTTTTTTTTTTGTCTTGTCCTCTGCTCCTAGTTTTATAAAAGAAGCTTTCCTGTCCTTCCTGTTGCACTTAAAAATATGGCTGAGCTACTAACAAATTTTGAAGTGGAACTAAACAGAACAGTATTTCTGCTCCAGCAGTGCAACGATCAGCTCCCTTTCAACATCTTCTTTCCCATGTTGAAAACGTTTATTAAACATTTTCAATAGATACATCAAAAGCAAAGGCACAAAGCATAAAATGGTTACAGAATAGAGGTAACCTTGGAGGTGTCCAACTCTGGCTGCAGTGTAGAAGATGAAAAAAATTAAAGGTCATCCAACATATTGAAAAAGTACAAAGTCTACATGAATGGAGAGATAGGGCATTGGCAACTTAATAGAGTTGAAGTTGTGCATATCAGGGTGGGCTGTTGCAACGTGGCAAAGTTGTATGCCCACATGTGAATATAAGTAATGAGTGCCCAAACAAGAAGATGGGCAAGAGTAGAAGGGTGGAGGATGGGAATGGCATAAGGAGGAAAGATGAAAAAGGTGATCATTCCCAGGGATAACCTTGCAACATCTTCAGCCGGTCGTCTTTTGGGCTCAGTGTCAACATTTTTACTCATATCCTGGTCTAGTTTATATTTCTGCCTTAAAGCTTAAATCCAGGTTGAATATTGTCTAAATTAGAGGTGCATATATTCTTTTTATTACTTGTCTCCTTTTGTGTGATTCCTTCAGATTTGAGCAGAAATCAGCATGAAACCACTTTTTGTGTGGGCTTTCCCTGTATTATAGAACGGTCACTGCTGCTTGTATCCTCCCCACTGTAGTTTTCTGCAGACAGATTGCAATTGGAGGACCTGCTGGATCCTACCTACAGCTCTGTTCTCTGTGCAGTTTTGTGATGATGTCACTGCTATCTACAAGTTAATAACTGGGTTTGCAAGGGCATTCGGTGCAGACAAAGCAAACTTATATTTTATAGGTTATATCTTTTGTGGCTATTAAGGAAAATGTTGTACCCAGAGTTCATCATTCTAACTTAACAACAGCTAAACAGTTTAAGCATCTAAATACATGGATGAAATGTAGTACATAAATAAAAACAGTTTTAGCTGCCTTAGGGTTTGTATTTTTGTCTGTTTGCTCAGAAAGGAGGATGACACCACTTTTCTGTCATGAAATATAGACACCATTTACTTGCTCTTTCAGTAATAAATATATGTGCAGCACTCAAAAATCTAAATGCATAAATATCAAAAATGAATACAATTCCTCAGTACATAAATAAATATTCATACATGTAAAATATATATAATAAGAAAAAAGAGCAGTTTATGTGAAAAAATATATATAAAGTAATTCCACCAGTTCATAAAAATAGAAAAAAGGTGCACACTTCTCCTTTAATTCCTACTGGGTGTATAGAATGAACAACAATTTCCACCACCTGCACTCTGCACTCACCAGAACATGTGGCTGCATAAGTTATAAGCAGCAAAAGCGCTTTGTAAAACTACGCAAACAGCAGTAACCCTTTTCTGGGTGTGGTCCCTTTAAAATGTAATCAGTGACCAGGTCACCACAGCCCAGGACAGGCAGATAGGTAGCTGTATGGAACATATGCTCACCAACCAGAGCCAGATGTAACTGTCATAGTGTTGTATTTATTTAAAATCACCCAGCATATAAAATCGAGCATAAAATTAGAAAATACAGTCACCAGTACTTACAAATGTGGCTCCATGCTGCGGTGTGATGTCAGCACTCGAACACCCCCCACAGTCGGCTAACTCTCTAACCCTGCTGTACAGTCAGCAGACTAGGGGCATCGGGGGACTGATGAGCTCATCTCTCTACTCATTCCTTTTGTCAGCACATTAGATTGCAGCTCACCTGATCGGCTTCCAGTACTGCTCCTTACTTTCTCAATGTGAGTACTGCTGTACAGGAGACTGCTCAAATTCAGATACTTGCACTAGTTGACTTAAAAATATTATTTGAATACAAAGCTTTATTAATTGTGTCTTTATATCTGCCTGGAGTTCAGCTTTAATCTTTTATTGTACATAGCGCTACTTGTAAAGTAAGTTCTAAAAGGGGCCAAACATTTGACCAGCTGTGTCAGTCATGCATTCTGAAGAAAATATGGTCATTGAAATGAATAAGATTAAAACGTTGCTGCAGAAATTTAGTAATAGGTTTGTGTAGCTGGTGAGAGTTGACCAGTCTGAGCATTGTGGGTCCAATGTTGAAAAATAGTTTTTAATAGAATGTGTAACTAATGAGCTCCATATATGCCTTGCTTTAGGGTGCGGACAGTAGAACAGCTAGACCAAAGATACATTCTGGTGCCTGAGAAGGTGAAGGATGCATATCTGGTTCATCTGATCCAGAAATTCCAGGATGAGCATGAGGACTGGTCCATCATAATCTTCACCAACACCTGCAAGTGAGTCCTGTGTGGAATCGCCAGACTTGATGATGGGACAGGAACCACAGGGAGTGTGTGCTTATCAGCATGGACTTGTAGGCATGATTGCTGTTTTGTTAACTCCGAGCAAGTAAAAGCTCTAGATTCCAGTGTTTTGTGGTTGCAAGGAAACAAGTTAAAAATAATTAGGTTGTGTGATTGCTTCTACCAAAGGAATTGAAGTAAGTGTGTGTGTGTGTGTGTGTGTGTGTGTGTGTGTGTGTGTGTGTGTGTGTGTGTGTTTCATACAGCCTTTTCAGTGTATTTTTAGATATAGTTGTTTAAAGAGATCCCATCTACATAATCTTAAAAATTTGTGCTAATGTTCTGAACAGAAAAGGAAAATAACTTTTTTCTACATATAGTTTGCAATTATATATGTACATACATGGGCACCCTCCACTATATTACGCTCTGGGATATGTGTCATTTGCCTGTCCTGTGTTGTCTGCTGTGGTCCTTCCCACTGCCGTGATATCCAGTGGTACACAGCAGGGAACATACGATCTTACACATTCCAAAGTGTCCAATAACAGGAGCACTCTGTGCTCTTACACAAAGAGCACCTTACTGCTCCCCAAAGAGGTAAGTATTCCTATTCTTTTACAGGGTGGCTCTGCCCTCACTGGCCACTTTATTAGGTACAACCTTGCTAGCACCAAGAAATTATCCTTCACACACTTACACCACCACTATTAGCCTGAACCATTGATACAAGGTAGGATGGATCCATGCTGTTATGTTTACGCCAAATTTTGACACTACCACCTGAATGTCTCAGCAACCAGTCTGCCGATTCTTCTCTGACCTTTGACATCAACAAGGCATTTGTGTCCACACAACTGCCGGTCACTGGATATTTTCTCTTTTTCAGTCCATTCTCTGTAAGTCCTCTGGGTTTCCAGATGGATCTCTAGATGGTTGTGCAGGAAAATCTCAGTAGATCAGCAGTTTTTGAGATACTCAGACCAGCCCATCTGGCACCAACAACCATCCCACGGTCAAAGTCACTTAAATCCCCTTTCTTCTCCATTTTGATTCTCGGTTTGAACTTCAGCAAGTCGTCTTCACCATGTCTACAAACCTAAATGAATTGAGTTGCTGCCATGCTGAATGACCATAGCATTTGCACATGTAGAGGTATTCCAGTATGTCCGCTCAGCACATTTTATGTTTGTTCTAGATGTTTCATTAAAGACTTGTGCTGAAATAGTTTTGAGACTGCCGCCACTGGATCGACAATTTTTTAATTTTTATCACAAACCACATATCCCAATTTACTTTACTGTATGGTTACAGCTCACTGTCCTGGAGAATTCAATTAAACATTTTATTTAATTGCAGTAGTCTTGTTAGAACCCTCATTTTTATTTTCCTTGGTGGTTTTTAATTTTATCTAGAAACAGATGTTTAATAACTGTTCTGCTGTTATATGTTCCTATAATAACACATTTTAGTTTAATCTGTTTTTATATAGTGAAGGCTTTTATTTTAATGTTGCAGAAACTGTCAAATCCTGAATATGATGCTTCGGGAGTTCAATTTTCCATCTGTGGCGCTGCATTCTATGATGAAGCAGGTAAATTATTTCCTGGTAGATCATCAAAGGGTTTTGCAACAAATAATTTGTTAACCAAGTGGACGTTTTTTTTTTTACTAAAAAATAAAAAGGGTAACTCTGGAGGCTGTGTAACAGTATAGTGCAAGCTATGATGAGTTCTCATTGGTCAGCGCCCACACTTACCAGTGAGAATCGCTTTCCAGGATTGCGTCCCAGAAGGAGTTTCTCATTGGTCTGCACAGTTGTATGGCCAGCGCTAAAGCAAGAGTGCTTGACATTGTGAGCAGTATGCTGCTATACAATCTCCAGTGCTATTTTTTATGACATTTTTACAGCTGACGTTTAGCAAAAAACAAAAAGGAAGTCATTTGTGCAGGTATGACAGTCTTCTTTCTCTTACTGAACTTCTGACACTTTGATAATTAACCACTTGCCTACCGGGCACTTATACCCCCTTCTTTACCAGGCCAATTTTCAGCTTTCAGCGCTGTCGCACTTTGATAATTGCGCGGTCATGCAAGATTGTACCCATATGAAATTTTGATCATTTTTTTTCTCACAAATAGAGCTTTCTTTTAGTGGCATTTAATCGCCGCTGGGCACTTTACTTTTTGCACTATAAACAAAAAAAGTGCAAAAAATTTGAAAGAAAAAAAAAATTTCTTTTGTTTCTATTATAAAATTTTTCAAACAGGTAATTTTTCTCCTTAATAAAAAATATATATCCACCTGCGCTCCACAGACTCCTTAAATATAGCTAGCTGCTATCATCTACACCCTATACCATGGGACACATAAAATAAATATCAAGATATTGGATGAAGCGCTCTGCTATAATAATGCTAAAAAAAAACAAAATTTTATACACAAATGTAAAAGTGACTAATACTTAAATAATATATGTGCTAAAATTATATAAAAAATTCATATAAGACCAGTCTGCCCCCAAATGGCTAAAACTGGTTATACATGTGCACACACAGCAAAAATAGAAAGTGACCAGGTGCTTGGGTACATAAATAGTGTCTAAATAAATACAAAAGGTTTTAAAATCACAGTGAAATACTCATAAAAAGTGCCAAGTGTTTAAATAACAATCAATATACATATAATATAATCATGTGCAAAAAACATGCTATCACTCTTCTGTGAAGAAAATATATATATATATAGAAGTGCTTTTTCATTCAAATAGTGCTCAGACCAAAGTGTCACTCCAGTGAATCAATCCTAAATATCCAGAGTGCCTCCTCACCTCCAACATTCGACCCCTAGAGGTCACAAATCATTTATTTAAAAGGAAAAAATTTGGGCACAGTGTTGAATGACCTGGGTGGGTAGAACAGTCCAGTCTTGAGGTGGTTAATGGAATCCATGCAATATAATGGAAGTGAAGTGAAAATAAACAATCTATCCAAACCATTTTGTAGCTATAGAGTTTAAATTTCTTAGCCACTTCAACTGATCCCAACTCATAGTTGAGGGTTGTTTAGGGTTGTTAACGGGGATGAGGGGGGCAAGTTTCCTTTCCAAATAATTTGAGTGATTTGTGTACCATCTTTCCTGTTCCAAGATGGCTATGTGGGGGAATGTAAGGCTGAAGGGAGTTGGGGTTAGAGAATAGAGGCGTCGTCAGCCCTGGTTTAGAAGATGGCAATCCCTCTTTAGGCATCTTATTCCATACTTGCAAAGTGGTTGAAACTCTGAGCAGTAAGACATCTGAAACTGTACACAAACTGGTTTAAATTGCAAGGTGAAGATATCCTCATTTACCAAGATTCACAGTTTATCCCTTTTATCATGAAACCAATCTGATTAGTGTTCCTGCTGAGTCGTATATAGATAGATAGATTAGGTAGGGAGAGCCTTTCACTGGGGCGAATAAGTATGTCTTCAAATATCTCTTCTGGAGCGTTTGTGTCCTCAGATGAAATCCCTCATAGCCGTATTAATCCGGGTTAGGTATCGTTCACAGTAGGTGGTTTAATCATTCTGTAGTTTTGGTCAACTATCCATTTGATATGTATCCTGCCTAACCAAAAAAGACAATTATTCATAGGATGAGAAACATTCCAGAATGGACTTAGAAACTGGGCCGTGATTTGAGAGTAGCTAGTTTTGTGAGATTATGTGGCACAAAGGTACCTAGATATCCAATTGCTGCTTGTTGCCAATGAAATGGGAAATTCTGTTGCAGTTGCCAAAAAATACTTTTAAAAATGCTATCTATATCTATCTATCTATCTATCTATCTATGTGTATGTATGTATGTATATATGTATGTATATGTGTATATATATATATATATATATATATATATATATATATATATATATATATATATATATATATATTAGAAAAACAGGAGTTTGTTCCTGTTTTAGTCTGAACATACACAAGAATAGAATACAGATGGGTTTCACAAAATTAAATTCTAATTATAAAATTGTAATTCTAGGCAATAGACTGGTGTTTTGATGGTTATTTCAATCAAACGTCTGTGTGTTTCCGAGCACAATAGAATCGGTCTGGTATAAGATAATTGGGGGAAAGAAACAGTTTATCTCTGAGATGTGCTGTCCAAGATTTTTATGAGTTTTCTGTTTAGGGTAGAGATACATAATCTTTCAAGGTTGAGGGAATCTGGTCCGCGTGCGGTATATAATCTATCCTTGTAAATTATTTTGCTTTTATTAGGTTGTTCCATTTGTTTCCACTTGCAGACATACAAGCATTTGCTGCATTAAGAAGGTGTTTAAGAAGAGGGTATTTAGGTAAACTGTTTGTTTATGGGAAAGAGAAACACCCTAATCTACTAGTGGTTTAAACCATTATCCAAAAATGTTGTAGTTTAGGGTAGTGGCAGAAAATGTTGAAGAATGGTCCCTCTGTCTCCTGATTTCGCCAGTGGGGTGGATACCTGAGTATTTGATGTAGTTTCTGTGGGGGTCTATACAACTTTGTCAGTAATTTGTATCTGTTCTTTTGATATAAGGATATATTGAGGCCTCATGAGCAAAAAGAAGTATCTGATCTTTTTGGGCTTGTGGGAATTTCATCTGCAAGCCTGTTTCCCCAGTTCAACAGGAACATGATATTGGGGATGTTTTCCCATCAGAAGTAGATTATAGTAAGGTCAAAGAGTGTTGGTTATTTTTTTCGCATGTGTATAATATTTAGAATGGAGTGCTAGGGTGGATCGCTTGAACTATGTCAGGTAGGGATCTAATATAAGAACCCAGGCACGTGCGCCGTTTCATGACATCAAGATTGGGAGCGACGATAGTCAAGAGTTCTGCACTGATCAAAGGGCTGCCCTGGTGAGAAGTGTGTATGGAATGGAGAGGTTGTGTGCAGTTTACATGTTAATTTAAGGTATATGTATTTGTGTATTCTCCTTAAGAAAATATTCAGCAAAATTAACTGCTTGACCTCACACAAGATGGGCTTGTGTATACAGGCTTTGGGCTTGTATCGATGGCATCAGTTTGACGTCAGTTTGAGACACTTTTGCGATCCTTCATAATTCATCGATGGGTTAATTTTACCAGCCATTGACCTCGTTTTAATCTGCATTTGACCTGCTTCAGGTGGATTTGCCCTCCCATGGACTTGACTTTCTGGCAAAATCCATCAAACTACACTGTACAGTACACATTCATTGCATATGAATAGTATTTCCGAATGATTCATGTAATTTAACTGTCTTTGGAAAAGGCGGAGGATATTCTGTGTTTACTGAGAAGCCTGTGCTTGACCCTGTAGATTGTTACTGTAACCGTGACTACTTTCTGAGGACAGAAAAAAAAATGTTTGTTTTTTTTCTTTTTGTAGAAACAGAGATTTGCTGCACTTGCAAAATTTAAATCAAGTGTTTTTAGGATTCTTATCGCAACAGATGTGGCTTCCAGGTAAATAAAATTACAAATTACTCATGAAAGTCCCTTGGATGTTGTTTTGGTTTAACCAGTGCAATTTATGTAGATGCAGCTTGCAATTTTTGTTAACTACAGACCTATAATTATTTCATATTTTAAATTGCACTAAAATAGTCAGCACCTCAGATCACTGCCTAAAACAGCTCACACTCTGAAATTCCGATCAGTCATATAGACACTGTATGTAGGGCCAGATAATTACCAGCATGTTTAGTATTTTTACTTTTTTTTTTTTTTTTTGTGGGAGGAAAATCCAAGTGGACACAGGGAAAGCAGAATGCCTGTTGATTGCATCCACTGGAGAACTTAATTCAAAGCGCTAGTACTGCAAAACAATCACTTATTTACCATGTTTTCTCACAACTGATTTATGCCAGTCCTTTAAAGTGATAATAAAGGTCACTTTACAAAAAAAAAAAATAACAAGCATGTCGTACTTACCTGCTCTGTGCAATGGTTTTTACTAGGGATGCACCAAAATTTCGGCCACTGAAACATATCGACTGAAAATAGCCAAATAGCCGATAGGAAAAATTTAGTTGATACAGGTGCCGATACAGGAGACTGTATGTACTGCAGATGTGAAGGGGGGAGGGGGGGGTGGACGGCTGAGAAAGGCAGGAGAGGAGCAGTATATACAGTGACTGGCTGTCACTATGGGGTTTATTTACTAAAGCTGGAGAGTCCAAAATCAGACTCCCTTCTGCATAGAAACCAATCCGCTTCTAACCTCAGCTTGTTCAATGAAGCTTTGGCAATGAAACCTGGAAGCTGATTGGTTTCTATGCAGAAGGGAGTCTGATTTTGCACTCTCCAGCTTTAGTAAATAAACCCCTATATGTCAGTGCTGGTTTTTAAATGCTGTCACTTTCCCCCCAGCTAAAAGAGACAAGGTTTAGTTTTATTTTATTTCCAGAGATAAAAGAAACAAAGTTTACTTTAGCTCCAGGGAAAGTGACAGCTAATTCTGTGAGCTATAGTGAAGAAAAAAAAAAAAGCCGGCAATTGCATTTAAAAACCGGCACTGACAAAAATTGACAGCCAGTGAGAGAGCCTCTCTGTATACACTGCTCCCCCACTGTATACACTGCTCCTCTCCTGCCCTCTCCCCCCTACAAAGAGGACCTGTTACTCATATACAATCACATAGGGGACTAATGGTCCCCTATGTGATAGCAATAAAATCATGTTAAAAAAAAAAAATATACATACATACATACATACATACATACATAATACATACATACATAAAAAAAAAAAAAAAAAAAAAAAAAATTGGAGCCTCCCCAGCCTCACATAAGCAGACGTTTTGGTTCAGTTTTCGGCCACATGCATTCTGAATATTCGGTATCCGTTTCGGCACCACAATTTTCATTTTGGTGCATCACTAGTTTTTACCTTCGTGCATAGATTGCATGAAGGTAATACACCTTCAGCCTTTACAAACCATTTAAATTTTTTTTCTGTATGTGAAGTTTTCAAAGCTCATTTAAAGCAGCACTCAATGCCAGTTTTTAAATCCGGAGGTAAACATTTATTTTTGCATATATTATTTATATATTGCAGCTTACCATTTCTTAGATTTGATGGTTGCCTTAGTTTTTCTTTTTTTAGGCTTTCTTTCTTCAGTTTTCTTCTGGTGATTCAGCCAGCAAGTCTTTTGTTTTTCAAAACAACAAGCCTCCCAGCAGATTGTATCAGTTACAGACCTGAGACAAACCATTTAACACTGGCATGGGTGCTTACAATGATCAGTTTTTATTTATGGAAAACCTTTATCCCAAAGGGAAACACTGTTTGCTGTAATGGATTATAAAGTATTAGCTGGAGTTTGGCTTCAATTTGTTAGTGTATTTAAATCTGCTGGTACAGTACATCTAACGCTCACCTCCTCCCAGCCTGACAATGTTCAAAAGTACCCCCTGTGCTTTATCCAGAAAAGGGGCATGCTAACACAAGAGGTGTGTTACTGGCCAGATCACCAGGGGAAACAGCCTAAGAAACAAAAGCTGATACAGCCACATTAGTAGGCTGCAATATATTATGTTTTTGGCTTTGTGTTTATTACTGCTGTTAATGATTTGATTCAGAAAGCATTATTTTATTTTATATTATGCTTTCCTCAACTCTTCTCTTTATGTCAACCTCCATATATGAAATCAGCCAGATAGGAGTACCTGCATGTGTCACCCATTTGCCGTTGTAACAAGGGACCATATACATTGGTAGACATTTTGCAGTGCTGTCAGACTAATATATTTTACGTGCTTGTTGCTGGAGCTTTAGGGAGCATAGAAAGGAGCATACCATTTGCTTTATAGTTCATGGAGCTTCATTTAATTACAGGCACTGAATACTGGTGTCACCCTTTAGTATAGCATAGGTGTGGAAAACACAACAGCTGCTGTTTAATTTTTGCCACTAGTTGAATCAGAAGCATATGTTATTAATCTCTTACATTTTCAGGGGCTTGGACATTCCCCACTGTCCAAGTAGTGATCAACCACAACACACCAGGCCTACCCAAGATCTACATCCATCGCGTAGGAAGAACAGCAAGAGCAGGTATGGAGATCAGCCACATCCAGCAGGATGAAAACAAGAAATCCCTATCTGAATTTTTTTTTTTTTTTTGTGTTTGGTAGATGTCCATAACCACTTGCCCTCCTGTGGATTTACCCCCCTTCCTGACCAGGCCATTTTTTTGCGTTACGATGCTGCGTTACTTTAACTGACAGTTGCGCAGTCATGCAACGCTGCACCCAAATTAAATTTACATTGTCTTTTTTTTTTTTTTTTTTTCTTCCACGAATTGAGCTTTCTTTCAATGGTATTTGATCGCGTGTGTGCTTTTTTTTTTTTTTTTTTTTTTTTGCGCTATAAAAAAACAAAGACCGACAATTTTTATTTTTTACTATTAAACATGTCCAGCAAAAAAATTTTAAAAATCTAATTTCGTCGTAAATTTAGGCCAAAATGTATTCTGCTACAGGTCTTTGCTAAGAAAAAAAAAATTCCAATAAGTGTAAATTTTGGTTTACGTGAAAGTTTTTTTTTTTTTTTTTTTTTTCTTTCATAGTGTTTACAAATGGCGGTATATATACTGGAATTTTTTTTTTTTTTTTTCATTTAACTAGTAATGGCGACGATCAGCGACTTATAGCGGGACTGTGGTGGGCATTCTGACACTGGGGGGGAACTGACTTGGTGTCACTGACATACCCAGTGACATCAATACAGTGATCAGTGCTATAAAAAAGCACTATCACTACTAATGGCCTTAGGCAGGAAAGGATTAACATGAGGGGTGATCAAAGGGTTAACTTGGGAACGTGCTGAATTATCTCTTGTTTAACTAGTTGCCGATCGCAGATAGCCGAATGACGGCTGCACTGCGGCCGGCCAGTTCTGAGTGGACGTCATATGACGTCCCCCCAGAACGTGCTCTCCTGCGCGCCCCAGGGGGCACGCACCCGGCGATCTCCGTGATCGCTGTGTCCTACGGACACAGCTGATCACGTGATGTGGTAAAAGGCCAATCACAGCGGCCTTTTACCACCTGATCAGCGGTGTCCAATGACACGCTGATCAGAGGGAAATGCAAGTGCCGGTTCTCGGCTGCACTTTCCTCACGCTGTCAGATCGTGAGGAAAGTAGTGTCGAGAACCGGCAGTTGTCAGAGCGGGGATCGGCACCGATCATCAGGGCACTGATGATCGGTGCCAGCAGTGCCACCCGCAAGTTCCGCCCACCTGTGCCCAGCAGTGCGCATCACTAGCTCCGCCCACCTGTGCCCAGCAGTGCACCCACCTGTGCCTCAGCATGTGCACCCACCTGTGCCACTCAGCAATGTCACACTACCTGTGCCCACCAGTGCCACCCACCTGTGCCCACCCACCAGTGCCACCCACCAGTGCAGCCCAGCAGTGCTGCCAGTCAGTGCCAGCAGTTGTGCCAGCGGTTGTGCCAGTCAGTGCCCAGCAGTGATGCCAGTCAGTGCCGTCTATCAGTGCCGCCTATCAGTGCTGCATATTGTGCCGCCTATCCGTGACACCTCATTAGTGCTGTCTATCAGTGCCGCCTTTCCGTGCCACCTCATTAGTGCTGTACTGCCTATCAGTGCCACCTCCTTTAGTGCTGCCTATCAGTGCCCATCAGTGCCGCCTATCAGTGCCCATCAGTGCTGCCTCATCAACGCACATCAGTGAAGGAGAAAAAATTACCTGTTTGAAAAATTTTATAATAGAAACAAAGAAACTTTTTTTTTTTTTCAAATTTTTGGCAATTTTTTATTTATAGCGCAAAAAGTAAAGCGCCCAGTGGCGATTAAATACCACCAAAAGAAAGCTCTATTTGTGAGAAAAAAATGATCAAAATTTCATATGGGTACAATGTTGCATGACCGCGCAATTGTCAATCAAAGTGCGGCAGCGCTGAAAGCTGAAAATTGGCCTGGTAAATAAGGGGGTATAAGTGCCTGGTAGGCAAGTGGTTAAAATAAGCTTCTATCATTTTCACATTTATAGAGAGAATTATTTAAACTTCTAGTGATTTGAAGCTATGTTCACTAGTGTAACTGCATCTTTGGTGCTGATAAAAAAAAAAAAAAAAAAAATGGACCCCCCCCACCCACACAAGGGATGTGGATGGAGGAATCCTCCCCCACTGTACCATTGTATTCTGACAGTAGGGCTGTCAGAATACACTGATCAGTGGCTGCAGCAAGCTACTAATCAAAAAACAAAAAAAGTTTTCCATTAAACAGAAGTAGATTGCTGAACCGATTTCTGTTGAGCAGGAATGGCCATAGATGGATTGAAATTCGGCCAGTCCCTGCAGAACCCTCTGAATTTTGACCCATCTATGCAAAGCTTAAATCTTTTTATTGCAAATAATGTCATGATGTGTAGAAAAAAACATGCACTGGCCCGGCCAGGAAGATTTGGACAAACCAGTGTGTGTGTGGCCTTGCTGGCGATCTCACTAGATTGGGGTCCACAGCAATCAGCAGGGAGTGTAAACATTACTGATTGCAGCAGTGTGTAGGTTCTTTCCTGCACTCACATCATCAGAGAACATTCACAGAGCACAGCAGTCTTTTTATTTTTGTTGGCTAAGAACATTTTCTACAAGTATAGAAAAATAATGGTAGATCCTGTAGAGCACAATGAGCTTGTAACTTCCTGTGCAGTGAACTGAAATCTCTAACAATATTTTCATCGCTGCCAGTTCTCCTTCTAGACTTCAGAACACTCCTCCCCATGTTTGTAGTCAGGAGAGCAGTTTAGGGTAATAACGCTGCTCTTCCACAGATACAGTACAGCAATTGAACATTGTGTCAATCTAGGATATAACGATAATACTAGTAAGAGTGTTCGTGCAGGACCACTGGGCCAAAATGAAGGAAAAAGCTGAAAAAAGAAAAATAATGCAGCTACCACGTCAAAGGACTTGTAAGCTGAAATATTATATATTTAGTCTTTGGTTTAGATGCACTTTAAGTTGAAGCTGAAATTGTAAAAATTTTACTTCTGTGCTTTCTTAGGCTCGACTTGTAATTTCTGCTGAATATTTCTCTGAGAATGAATATTTGAAAAAAAAAATGTAGCTGGAATTGGTAACAACCTTGGTACTGTAAATATTGCTTTCTAATTGACCGCTCAATGTGTTTTTTATCGTAGGACGCAATGGCATGGCAATTACTCTGGTAACACAGTATGATATTCACCTGGTGCACGCAATAGAAGAACAAATCAGTAAGTTACTGGTTGTTTGGGAAATGTTTTTTATAATATTGGCTTTAGCTGTCATTCATACCTGAGCATTTTGTAGCTTGAAGCTCAAAGCTTTCAAATGCTCAACAAGCCAAATCCCATACTTTCAAATGCTCCCCGTTCACAGATGAGCATTCAGGCACTTGAATCTCCAAAGGGTATGTAAGCTACTTTTGAAGCCAAATGGGGACTTTTTTGTTCCCATTGACTTCAGTAGGAACACCTGCAAAAATGTGTTTATGCACATTTTTCAGATGTTGCCAAAATAAGGTTATTGGGGCAAAAATGCTCGATCTTGCCCCAAAAAAAGCTCCTGTGTGGCACTTGACTCCCAGAAATAAGTGGCAAAAGGGCACAACTGCACAAAAAACTGCCCCAAAATTGCCTACATACCCTACCCTTAAGCCTAGGTTTACACTGATGTACAATTTCATGGAGCACCTCAAAATGCAAGTTGGTACTGGAATCTCCTAGAGTCCACAGCATGCAGTATCCATTCAAGCTATGGAGCTACAAATCGTACTGCACTAAACTCGCACAAGACCCTTTTTCAAATCGCATTGGATTCACACTGAATATATGCGAATGGCCTCCATAGAAACTCATGTTTTACTCATCATGTGAGTCCATGTGGTCTGGAATGCATCAGAAATTGCATCAGTGTGAACCAGGTCTTAAAGTGAGTGATCATATAGCAAAAGAAAATAGATAAGGTGGGAATGTAAGGCAGACAATGTATCAGTTTCAACAGGATATATCCTGTTCATGTCTCTCCACCTTGAGCAATAGCTCTCTCTATTCTTTGCTAGAAACTTTAGATTCTAGATATTTTGGACTGTGATAATCAGTTAAATGAACTCCCCAATATAAACTATACATGGTGAGAAAACTGCAGCATTTCCAAACCAATGTTGAAATATTGCCAGGATCCTAAAATCTATAATAATCTAAAACCTATATGTCCCTCAGAGGTCCCAGGGCACACAGCTTATGGTCCCATTTAAATCTGTGCAGTGGTTGCTGAACAGCATGGTCAGATAGCCCCAGCCCCCATGGTCAGATTGGTCCTTAGCCTCCTCCTGAATATTACCTATTTCTAGACCAGGCTTTTTCTGGCACTTTTTGTTTACATGTAACAATCAGTATTTTTTGCTAGAAAATTACTTCAAACCCCTAAACATTATATCTTTTTTTTAAAGCCAAGGCCCTAGGGAATAAATTGGTGGGTTTTTCAAAATTTTTATGTCAGTTTTTGCACAGTGGTTTTTCAAATGCAATTTTTTGGGAAAAAAACACACTTTTTAAAAATGTTAAATTAAAAAATAAAATATAAAAGATGATGCTACACCAGGTAAATAGATACCAAACATGTTACGCTTTAAAATTGTGTCCACCCATGCAATGGTGACAATGGCGTGTTACTATTCATAGGCAATGATTTTATATTTCAATATTTTTTTATTGAGAAACAGGCATATAATAGCATAAAACAGGATGGCAAAAAAAAGGGGTCCACCTACATGGTGGGACATTATATAGAATCACAATCACAACACTGATAGGCACGCAAACAAATTTGACTAACAATGGCAATAAGGATACACCCAGAGAGTGCCATTACCATTAAGACGTACAGGTTTCATCAATCAATAAACAGAGACTAAACTGTAGGAATAAACCAAATGTAACAAAAACAATGCAGCGGATAAAGTAGAAAAAGAGAGAAAAGGAGGAAACGGCTCCTAAGAAAAAGGAAAAAAAATAGGGGGGGTCAGCTGTAAGACTCTCACGATACAGAAATGTAACTAATCCAAGGCTCTCAAGTCCCCTCAAATCTGGACACATCGTCATGGACAATACTTGTAAGTTTATTGTTTTATCATTATCCAATTAAGTTTGTTTCACCCTGTCCAACGGGATCACAGATTGTTTCCCAACTTCTAGCTATGGTAATACAAGCTGCCAGTAAGAGGTATAAAGTTAGTTTAGTCGATTTTTTTGGGAACGTCAGCGGGAAGTATATGAAACAAGGCCACTTCTGGTGATCTACGGATATTATCCTGTTACCGAATATATAAAATTAAATATGCGGATCCAGAACCTACTCACAACTGGACATTTCCACCAAACGTGGAACATAGTACCTTCTTGACCACAGCGTCGGAAACCACTAGATGATACTGAGGGGTACATTTTGGCCAAGCGAGTAGTAACCAAATACCAGCGAAGTAGCATTTTATAATTGGATTCAACAAGATCAGTATTAATCGAGATCTTCGATAAAGTATGAGCCGCATTCCGCCATGTATCTAAAGCTAATGAACTATTTAAATTCCCCTCCCATTGGGTCATGTAGGACAATTTAGCGGGAGGATCAACAATGGAAGCATAAAGGATAAACGACCTCGCATCATCCCACCTGCTCCACAGGGGACCTCGAGGGAAGTAAGCGCACAGGGTTCTCTGAGTAATCTAAGTTTGCTAATGATAAAAGAGCGAAGTTGGTGATAACGAAATATTTCTCCGGGAGGCATCTGATATGTCGTCAAAAAATGTTGAAGTGACCGAGGACTAAACCCATCTAAATAGTCTCCGATACGTAACAGACCCTTATTAATCCACCACTGGAACACCGATGGAGATAGACCCGGGGCAAACTCAGGATTACCAAACACTGGGGCTAATGGGGTATGTGGAGAGGAGAAAGGTTTGCGAGCTCGCCATCTACCCCACACCAATAACGAATAGGATAGAGTAGGACACAAAATAGGAGGACGCAATCCACCGGGAAGCCACATGAGAGTACCCACAGCGTATGGATGGCACGAAAGAGCCTGAATCCCGACTCACTGGGGGACATATCCCCTGGCCGTAGTACACGATAGCTGTGATATTTGGGCCGCCTGAAAATATGCCAGGAGATTAGGGAGTCCCAAACCGCCATGCCTCTTCAGGGAGAATAAGGTAGACTTGTTAATCCTAGGGGTGTTCCCCTCCATATAAATCTAGAGACCGTAGTAATAACAGTTCCCATTTGGGGACCATGATTGGCAGCGTCCTGAAATAGTACAATAATCTCGGTAAAAAGGTCATTTTAATAGAATAAATTCTACCGAACCAGGAAAGTGAAAGATCCTGTCAGTCTAGTAAGTAATTTTTAAGTTGTTTGAAAAGTGGGAGATAGTTGGTCTTGTATAACGTTGATATAGATTTCGTGAGGTGAATCCCTAGATAGGGAAGAGAGCCAGGGGCCCACTGAAAAATCTAAATTTTCCCGGAGGTAGCGAACCTCTGAATTGGGTAACGAGATATTCAAGGCAACCATTTTAGACAAGTTAAGAGTAAAGACCAGGGGCCTCAGAAAACCGATGAAACAAGTGGAAGAAACCAGGCAGAGACGTTCAAGGATTAGAAACATACATGAGAACATCATCAGCAAATAAGGCGCATTTATGATCCCGTTGACCACAGTAGATGCCCGAGATAGTGGGATCAGCACGAATAGCAATCGCAAGTGGTTCCATTGCCAAAGCAAAGATCAATGGAGAAAGAGGACATCCCTGTCTAGTCCCTCGTTCTATCGAAAAAGGGGCTGATTTATATACACAAAGGAAAACTTGAGCGGACGGAGTAGAATATAGGGCCCGTAACAGCGTCGTAAAATGAGGGCCAAACCCGAATTTGTCTAATGTCTGAAACAGTCCCAAGACAGACTGTCGAATGCTTCCTGAATATCCAGTGACAGTAGTAAAATTTCCCTCTGTGAAGACCTGTCCCAATTGGACTGCACCACTGACAGCAAAGCTATAGCCTGTCGAATTTGGTCCGATGTTTGTCGACCGCTTATGAATCCTGACTGGTCATCGTGAATATATAGGGCCAAAAATTTATGGAGACGTAGGGCCAGTATTTTAGTAAGAATCTTTAAATCGCAATTAATTAAGGAAATAGGCCGGTAATTGGAAACCATAGTGGCGTCCTTGAGAGGCTTGGGGATGACACTGATGAATGGTTTATTTTCATCTGGGAGTACCATTCCCCCGTCCTGCAAATAGTTAAAGTAGAGGGCCATATGTGGCATCAAAATATCAGGGAAAGCTTTATAATAATTATTGGGAAGACCATCCGGTCCTGGGGCCTTATGAGAGTCAAGAGATTTCACCACGTTCCCGATTTCTTCACATGAAATAGGCCATTCCATCATCTCCCTATGGGTCTCCTGGAGGGGGGGGAAGCGAAACAGACCCCAAAAAGGTGTCAAGAGACGAAGAAGAACCCCCTTTGGGCGAGCTATAAAGTTTAGAGTAGAAAGAATGAAATTTGTGGAGGATCTTACTAGGGTCCTGGGATAACGTACCGTTATCCAATCTGAGTTTGGGGAAAGACATTTGGGAATGTCTGGGAGTCACCTTGCGTGCTAACAAAGTGCCAGGTCTGTCCCTCCAAGTAAAGAATTTGATTAGACCAACGAAGTTGTTTGTCAGCAATGGTAGTAAGACACAAATTAAGTTCCAGTCGGGCCTGGTCAAGCTTAAGTAACAAATCAGGACTGGGATTTTGCTTATGTTGAGCAACCAGGTCAGTGTATAACTGAGTTTAAACGGGAAGTAGGTCATTTCGGGCTTTTTTAAGACTAGAAGAAAGTTGAATAATACACCACCTGACCGAGGCCTTATGAGCTGCCCATAGGCAATGATTTAAAAGCCTTTACAGATTACTGTTTTAGATTTACAGAGGAGGACTGGTGCTAGAGTTACTGCCCATGATCTGACATTTGTTTTGATACCTCACATGTGGAACGATGACTGTTTGCATGCATTCGCCTAAGCATGGAGGAACTTTAATTATATATATATATATATATTTTTTTTTTTACACTGTTCTACATTTTTTTTATAACTTTTATTGCTGTCACAAGGAATGTAAACCTCCCTTGTGACAGCAGTAGGCATGTGACAGCTACTCCTTTATGGAAGGATCTGGGCTCACATATATCAAATAGTAGTTCTCCCAATTTGCCAGCAATAATGAAGATACAGTTTGATACAGGTGTCTTTGGGGTGGTCTGGCTTGATACTTCTCATGTCCATGTTTTAATGTGTTTGTGTTTTCCAATATCTTTGACTAGATATGAAACTAAAAGGGTTTGCTGTAAAAGAAAGTGAGGTATTACAAATCCTTACTCAGGTGAATGTGACTCGAAGAGAATGTGAAATTGTGAGTATTTTTTTTTTTGTTCTCTGTGAGTATGTTGGTTCTCTGAAGTGCAGGAAGTTGGTACATGCCATGCCTCTACACAATAAAATGTATTTTCTCTTGATTATAGAAACTGGAATGCACAGATTTTGACGAGAAGAAGGAGATTAACAAACGGAAGCAGCTCATTCTGGAAGGAAAGGTAAAATGCAATAAATAGGGTTGTCATTAGTTTAATAATTTTCCTTCCACTTGGCAATGAACTCGTGGCTTAACCACTTGCCGACAGCAGATAGCCAAATGACGGCTTCACCGCGGCCAGCCAGTTCTGGGTGGATGTCCTATGACGTCCTCCCAGAATGCACTCTCCTACGCGCACCCGGCGATCACCTTGATTGCTGTGTCCTGCGGTATGGTATGGTAAAAGGCCAATCACAGCAGCCTTTCACCACATGATCAGCCGTGTCCAGTGACACACTGATCACCGGGAAATGCAATTTCCAGCTATCAGCAGTTGTCACAGGAGGGATCGGCACCGGTCATCAGGGCACTGTTGATCAGTGCCCATCAGTGCCGCCCACAAGTGCCCATCAGTTCCGCCAGTCAGTGCCCAGCAGTGCCACCAGTCAGTGCCCATCAGTGCAGCCTCATCGACGCTCATCAGTGAAGGAGAAAAATTACCTGTTTGCAAAATTTTTATATTAGAAACAAAGAAACTTTTTTTTCAAAATTTTTTTGGTCTTTTTTTTTGTTCGTAGCACAAAAAAATAAAACGCCCAGCGGTGAGTAAATACCATCAAAAAAAGCTCTTTGTGTGGGAAAAAAATGATAAAAATTTCATATGGGTACATTGTTGCATGATCGCGCAATTGTCATTCAAGCTGCTACAGCGCTGAAAGCTGAAAATTGGCCTGGTAAGGAAGGGGATATAAGTACCTGGTAGGCAAGTGGTTAAAGATGAACTCCACACAGACAACTACAGTATATACACCAATGGAATACATATAAGAGAGCTGTACTTCCAATTCTGAGATTTCCAGAGCTCTGCTAAAAAAAACAACCTTGTTCGTAACCTGGTTTTTTTCTACTATGGTTAAGAAATACAGCTAGGTGTGCTCCCTACCCTACTGATACATCATCTCTGCATTCTCGCCTCCTATCTGCATGTCCCTTCATGCTGCTTCCCCTGTTTCCAGTCTACGTTCTGCTGTGCAGGGGATTACAGAAGGCTAATACCAAGACACCTTCAGGTACTTCAAGTAGTTTCATTTAAAACACATTTTTTTTAATGAATACAAAGGTACATCATTTTTTTTTTTTCCCTGGCATTCAGGAACTGCTTCAGCACAGCAAAAAATACATTTTATATACAGTATAAGACAAAACCAAATAATTCAGTCCATTTTTTTAAACCATCATAGGATTTTCAAGGCACCATAAGTGTGTGTGTGTAATATATATATATATATATATATATATATATATATATATATATACACACACACACATACAGTTAGGTCCATATATATTTGGACACTGGCACAATTTTCATGCCTCTTGGCTCTGTATGCCACCAGAACAAATTAAAACGAAACAATCCAAATGAATTTGAAGTGCAGACTTTCAGCTTTAATTCAATGGGTTGAACATAAATATCAAGTACAAATTTTAGGAACTGCAATCATTTTTTATACACAGTCCCTCCATTTTCAGGGGCTCAAATGTAATTGGACAAATGAATATAATCATAAATAAAATGTTCATTTTTAATATTTTGTTGAGAATCTTTTACTGGCAATGACTGCCTGAAGTCTGGAACCCTTGGACATTACCAAAGACTGGGTTTCCTCCTTTTCTGAGGCTTTGCCAGGCTCTAACTGCAGCTGTCTTCAGTTGTCCTTTGTTTGTGGGTCTTTCTGCCTTTAGTTTTGTCTTCAGCAAGTGAAATGCATGCTCAATTGGGTTGAGATCAGGTGATTGACTCGGCCATTGCAGAATATTCCACTTCTTTTCCTTCAGAAGCTCCTGGGTTTTTTTTTGCAGTGTGTTTTGGATCATTGTCCATCTGTACTATGAAGTGCCATCCTATCAACTTTTTCTGCATTTGGCTGAATCTTGACTGACAGTATATCTCTAAACACTGCAGAATTCATCCGGCTGCTTCTGTCTTCTGTCACATCATCAATAAACACCAATGACCCAGTGGCACTGGAAGTCATGCATGCCCATGCCATCACACTGCCTCCACCTTGTTTTACAGATGACGTTGTGTGCTTTGGATCATGAGCTGTTCCAAGCCTTCTCCACACTTTATTCTTCCCGTCATTCTGGTACAGATTAATCTTAGTTTCATCCGTCCAAAGAATATTTTTTCAGAACTGGTCTGGCTTTTTTAGATGTTTTTTTTAGCAAAGTGTAATCTGGCTTTTCTATTCTTCAGGCTTATGAATGTTTTGCACCTTGTGGTGAACTCTCTGTATTTGCTCTCGTGAAGTCTTCTCTTGATTGTAGACTTTGACAATGATACAACACCTCCTGGAGAGTGTCCTTCACTTGTCTGGATGTTGTGAATGGGTTTTTCTTTACCATAGAGAGGATCTTGCGATCATCCACCACCACTGTTTTCCATGGACGTCCATGTTTTTTTATGTTGCTGAGCTCACCAGTGCGTTCTTCTTTCCTCAGAATGTACCAAACTTGATTTGGTCACTCCTAATGCTATCTCTCTGATGGATTTGTTTAGTTTTTGAAGCCTTACAATGGTCTGTTTAACTTGCATGGACAACTGCTTTGAACGCATGATGTAGGTTCACAGCAATAGATTCCAAATGCAAATACCACACTTAGAATCAACTCCAGACCTTTTACCTGCTTAATTGATGAAGAAATAATGGAGTAGCCCACACCTGGCCATGAAACCGCTTTTGATTCAATTGTCCAATTACTTGTGGTTCCTTGAAAAAGGGAGGGGGGGGGGGGGGGCTACTCTTAAGAGCTGTAATTCCTAAACCCTTCCTCCAATTTGGATATACATATCCTAAAATTACACCTGAGAGTAATATCCATTATACAACTATAGCTTGAATATGTTTTAGTAAATATCTGAAAAAAAAAAACTAAAGTTGTACCTGTGTCCAAATATATATGGACCTACGTGTGTGTGTATATATGTGTGTGTGTGTGTGTGTGTGTGTGTGTGTATGTATATATATATATATATATATATATATATATATATATATATAGATAGATAGATAGATAGATAGATAGATAAAAAATACACACTATAAACATTTTATTGTACAAAAATTCAGTAGAACATCAATTTGTTGCAGAAAATGAAAAAAAGACACACTGCTAAATATTTTATAGATCGAATTTCTATTTCTCCATACAAATAACTATCACCAAATGCTGAGTATAATTGGTTAACTGTATATGTAGAACTCAGTACGTTTTTGATCTTCTTCAAAGATAGCTTGAAATCCTGCATTCTGGTACACGAAAATGTGTTCTTACACTATATATGTAATTTTAGGATATATCAAACAATACACAAATAAGTATGCAAAAACTTACATGGCATAGATACAATGTATATGTAGAGTGTGTACATGGCTCATTCATAAAAATAATGTACGGTAGTCACCATGCGTCCCAACACACCAGGGTGATAAAGGTTTTCCAGAATGTACCTAGCAAAGCTTCCTCTGTAAATACAGAAGATCTCATAATGGAAATCATATAAAAAAGATTTTTCATGAACAAAAAATACTCAAGTAGGTACATATCATTCTCACCTTAATATTTTAATCCCAATGAACTAAACAGTGTCTCTCCGGGTTCCATAACATTGTATGGAAAAGAGCGTATGTAAGGGCTACTAGCTATCTAATTCGGGCTCCACCATAAATAAAATAAAACCCATAATAGAAAATTTATTAAAAAATAAATAAATAAGAACCTTATACCCAAAACATTACAATGCAAGTTGTGGCCAATATAGCAATATAAACAAAAATAATTAAATATCACCTAGATCAGAGGTAGGCAATCTTTGAGAGGTAGAGATCTACCTGGACAAAATGGTAGAAAACAAAGATCACTGGGGTGCAGCGCCATTTGTTTATTATTTTTTTAAGGCGTTAACTAGCAAGCCCTCAAATAAAAGAATGGACAAGGAGGGTGCGGAGAAAACTTACAAAAATATAACAAAACTGTCACTGTAAAAGTATAACGTTGGCCTACCTTAAAAGTTGGGTTCAGCGACCCGCAAAAGTCTGATACAGGAGTCCATCATGAAGGCAGAACCACTTGAACTGCAGGTGGACTTTCTCGACTTCTTTCAGGCTTTGCTGTCTGCTCGGAGTTCTGGTGAGTGTACATGGTATGTAGGGCAGTGTACAGCAGCAAACGGGGTTCAGCAGGATGTACAACCGTGTACAGGGGTCAGTAGTATGTAGGGCATTCGGCAGATGGTCAGCAGGGCACTGCACAAGAGGGTTAGGATGGCACACCACCGTGGGGTTGGAGTCGGTAAGGTGCGATACAGGGGGGTCAGGGTGGTCAGGAGGGTGCAGTACGGGGGGTTAGGGTGACATGGTTGTCAGGAGGGCACGGTATAGGGGGATCAGGAAGGTACACCACCGGGGGGGGGGGGGGGGACAGTCAGGAGGGTGTGGTATGGGCGGCTCAGAGTGACACGGCACAGGGGAGTTTAGGAAGGAACACCACTGGGTTGGTCAAGAGGGTATGGTATGGGGGGGGGGGGGGGGTCAGGAGGGTATGCCACTGGGTAAAGGGTGTTGAGAAGGCACACCAATGGGGGGGAGTCAGGAAGGCACACCACTGGGGGGGGGGGGTCAGGAGGGTATGGTATGGGGGGGGGGTCAGGAGGGTATGGTATGGGGGGGGGGGTCAGGAGGGTATGGTATGAGGGGGGCAGGAGGGTACACTACTGTGAAAGGGGGTTAAAAAGGCTCAACACTGGGATGGTCAACAGGGGACACCACTGGAGGGGGGTCGGCAGGAGTTTGTGGTATGGCGGCTCAGAGTGGCACGGTACAGGGGAGTGAGGAAGGCACACCACTGTGTTGGTCAAGAGGGTATGGTATGGGGGGCGGGGGGGGCTTAAGAGGGCACAGAAGTAGAAGAAGCAGTGCAATGTTCTAGTGTTAGTACTAGTACTGATCCCAGCCAGCTTGTCCTTCTCTCTTCCATTCCATATGTCTTCCACAACTGTCTGGCTGGACTGAAGAGGACGTTTGGCTGGAATAAGCAGAGTGCACTCGTGGGAGGAGCACAGGCACATTCGCACAAGAGCCTGAACCTGCCAAGCTTCCCTGCAGCTGTCATAGGTGGCAGAGGCAGTCCCCACCCCACAGCACGCCCTTTGCTTGTGTACGACTGCGGGTTCTACTTTGCCAAATAGGATTACTTACTGCACGTCTCCATTTTGCTCCGCAGCTCTGCCAGTTGAGGGTCGGCAAGGCAGGAACAAGATCGTAGTCTACCGGTCACCTGCCTGCGGTCTGCTGGAAGATTGCGATCGACAGGTTGCCAACCCACAACCTAAATGTTTACATCCTGGTGGTCAGCAAACGGGGATTCTGAAATAAAGTAAAAAGGAGCTGTATCTAAATACACTACAAAAACAACCAAAATGGCATTATAAGGGCAGTTTCACACTGATCAAATTTTTCTTCCATTTTTGCCTTATCAAAACTAGAAAAAATGTGTGACAATCCTATGGAGCTCTTCATACCAGTTGGTTGAGGGTCAGTTGCATTTTGACATGAAGTGCAGCAATGGCAAACAAACAGGTTAAAATGTTATCACAACTCACATGTTAAAAGTGTTTGTTATTTTGCTTGTCAAATCCAAAACCGGTCACTTGTGGTGCTCACAGGGCTGGAGGAGAGGTATAGACAGTCAACCCCCAAGTTGACATCACTTCCGCCCTATACCTACAGGGGTCCCGTAACTTCCAACCTCTCCAGCCCTGTGAGCACTGCAAGCGACCGGTTTTGGATTTGACAAGATAACAAGCACTTTTAATATGTGAGTTGTGATAACATTTTAACCTGTTTTTTTGCCCATTGCTGCACTTCATGTCACTTTCCCTGTCTTTCTATTGTGGGATAGATAACACAGGAGCGGTGTGGGGGAAATCGCATGTGATTTGGACAGGAATCACACTGCATTCCTGTTCAAATTGCATGCGACTCTTTGCAGTGCAATGTGAGCCCATTCATTTTGTATGGGCTCCGATCACACTGCAAAGGTATCGGTACTTGGTACCAGTGATAAAAACCGGTATCGGTGCAACCCTACTTATCATCCATGGAAGGAAGTACAGTGTTCATATTTACAGGTAAAATGAAAATGTGAATGAACACTTTAAGCAGAGTTCTGCTTACATGTGCCTCCATATATTTGTAATGTAAACTATTTTTATGAATGTTGCTTGAGTCACGAAATTCAACTGGCTGTCATGGCTTTGCTCATTGACAATCATATAAAAACTGCGAGCAGTAATAGGCTGACTCGACTTATATACATTAATGGTAATATTTTTGTAAATTTTCTAATGTTTATCTTCATTTAAGGATCCTGATCTGGAAGCAAAAAGAAAAGCAGAGCTTGAAAAGATTAAAAAACAGAAAAAGAAATTCAAGGAGCACATTGAAGAAACCATGCAGAAGAAACGAGATGCTGTAGTGCGCAGAAAGCTGCAGAAGAAACGCCTGAGACAAAAGAAGAAGGCTGCCAAATCGCAGCAGTGACTAAACCAAGAGTAGGCCTGATAATCAGGTCCACAAAGACTGACCTTTTTAGATGGCCATATGAGACGTCACAGATCTGTGAAAAGTATTCCTTATCCTGGGGTAACGTTCTGCTCTTGGTTGGCTTGCCCAGCAAGGATCCCTGGCACCTGTTTTTGTTACTCAATACATAGGACTGAATTACTGCCACCTGCTGAGCTTGTCATTGGCCTGGTAGCTGAATGGACGAATGTACCTGTGTGTGGCAGGAGGGCTATTTCATGGCAGCCGTACTGATATCTGATCACAAATGGAGGTCCAGATCTTCAAATGAACTGATCATTTTTGTATTTTTTGGGGGGGATTGGGTACTTGGAAAGTAAAGTATTATATTTCTTATGTAACTGTTAATGGTATGTTATGTCTCATATAACATAAAGAGCGATTTTTATTTTGGATAGAAGTCACCATAATTTAAAGCTGAACTCCAGCCTTACCTGCAGGCTTGCACAGTTGTACAGGCTCTTCTGCTGTACTAAAATTGCTTACTCTGATTTCACTGCATACTGTGAGCTTCTCATTGTGTGCATTAGAAGGCTCAGGTCTTCAAAGATAACCCACCTAATTTCCTGGCTGGAGGATGTCCAACCTCTAGAGCTTTCCTCCCCAGCCTGGATGTTTCTGGCCTTCCCTTTCATTTATTGGACTTCAACTCTTGCAGTCATGAAGGTTTAACATTACATCAGGGTGTTGCCTAGGGCAGTCTGCACACAAAGGAACACCATCATCTTCAGCCTGATACCTACTAATTAAGGCTACTTTCACACTGATCCGCCACAAAAACGCATAGGCGTTTTTGCCGCGCTTTCTGAGCGTTTTTAAAGGACACGTGACTTAAAACTGCTCCCAAAAAACGCTTCCCAGAGTCATTTTTGGAGCGTTTTTTTTAACTCACCAAAGATGCTGCAAGCAGTTTATACACCACAAGCGCAACTCCTCACTGTGAAAACATGCATAGACATACATTCACATACATAGGGAAGTGGTTTTCTTGAGCTTTTCAGGCGCTTTTTTTAATGAAAAAACGCTTCAAAAGGTAGCCTAAGGCTGGCCATAGACGGGCCGTTTATCGGTCGAATTGTCGGCCGATAAACGAAAAATCGTTCATTGCTGCTAAGGATGCTGCCACCAATGCTTACGAAAAATGGCTGGTTTTCGTAGATAAAAAGAAGATCCACGAAAAACGATTTTTCGGTCGGATGAAAATTCGGCCGATAAACGACCCGTCTATGGCCTGCATAAGGCATTTTGATATTTGCATAACTCCTTCCAAATACAGACCTGGTACTTTGTTTTCTGGAAGCTATGTACCTCATCCTGCTTGCCGCTGTCGCCAGTCCTGATCTGATCTGCCTGTATTGCATAGAGAACTGCAGAGACCCAGTGATGATGTCACTGGGTTTAAAATAAGGGAGATAGAGAGGGAACTAGGGAAGACAAAATTTCAGCTTTAAACAATTCTGCCTGCCTTCTGCATATCATTTATATTGGGGTTCATCCATATATGTAACAGTTCTCAGAATTTGTTGTATGACATAAATGAACTGTGTTCAACCTTCAGCCCAAGTTACACTGTAAACATTGTAAAGGTAATTTTATCTATAATGATGATACTGCTTCTGGTATCCCATTGGGATTGCATAGTTCTGGGAACACAAACACTCTCGGGTCTACTAGTGCAGGATGCGTTGATAAAAAAATATTTTATGTATTTGAATAAAAATTGATTTTGATTTAGCAAGTGGAGATTGAACAATTGTCTGAACTATTAAGGGTCCTTTCACACTGGCTTAAAGAAACGTTGCTTCTAGAGGAGTTTAGCGTTTTTGCCTGTAGAAGCAGCTCAGTGTTATCCTATGTGTCCATGCACATAGAGACGATTAGAGGCATATATTAACTTCTTCAGCCCCAGCCACTGCATAAAAACGGTTTGCAGGGCGGCACGGCTGGGCAAAACCACGTTTTAAAACGTGGTTTTGCAAAACAGTTAGGGGGCACACGCGAGGCATGCGCCTGCCCTACCTGTCCCACGGGTGTCAGCAGCGCGGGTCATTACCAGCCGTTTCCCCGCGATGTGGTGATCGCTGAGAGAGAGCAGGGCTGCATTGTTTACACACAGCCCTGCTATCTGTCAGTTGCCTGTCAGCTCCTGACAAGCTGAAGAGGGAGAGAAGAGTTTCTCTCTCCCGATCAGCCTGCCCCCATCCAGCACACACCCCCGCCCCCTAGTAAAACACTGCCCTTACACAGTTAACCCTAAAAGATTTTAACCCCTTCCTCCCCAGTGCCATTAGTACAGTGTCAGTGGTTTTTTTTTTTTTTCACTGATCACTGTATTGGTGTCACTGGGGATGTCAGTGACCCCAAGTCAGTTCCCCCCCAGTGTCAAAATGTCCGCCGCAGTCCTGCCATAAGTAGCTGATCGTTGCCATTATTAGTATAAAAAAAAATTAAAAATCCCAGTATCTTTCCTGCCATTTGTAAACGCTATAACTTTCATGTAAACCAATTAATTTACACGTATTGGGATTTTTTTTAGCAGAGACATGTCGCAGAATGCATTTTGGATGAAATTTGTGACAAAATTAGATTTTTTTTTAAACTTTTTACTGGACATGTTTTTATAGCAAAAAGTCCAAAATATTGTTATTTTTTTTTTTCTCAAAATTGTCAGCCTTTTTTTTTTTATAGCGCAAAAAATTAAAAACGCACAGGCAATCAAATACCACCGAAAGAAAGCTCAATTTGTGGGAAAAAAAGAATGTAAATTTAATTTGGGTGCAGTGTTGCATGACCGCGCAATTGTCAGTTAAAGTAACGCAGCGCCGTAACACAAACCTCTTCTGTAACCGCAACACAAACCTCTTCTGTAACCGCTTCCTGACCACCCTACAGCAGAAATACTGCTACAGGGCGGCATGGGTACGCAAAATCACATATATATATATATATATGTGATTCGTGCTCCCGTGGTTTTCACACCCCTCCCAGATAGCGTCAGATTGCCCGTCAGTACACCAGTTATCACATTTAACCCCTTGATTGCCAGGGAACACGCTCATGTACAATAAGCCTCCATTGCTAGTATAATGTCTGAACGGGTCAATATCTTTGATCAGATCAGCACTATACCAGCGTTCACATTAGTATAGCGTCCCCAAAAACGCAGCGTTAGCGGGATCAGCCCCGGCACCTGCCAACACCTGCGTTTAGCCCCTACGCTTACCCCCCCCCTTCTCCCCCAGCAAGTGCAGTGTTAGTTTAGGTCACTGGATACATTGCACACAAAACTGCAGTGTTCGCAGAATCAGGCCTGATCTCTGTTAGCACTTGCCGGTAAATTTTGATGACTCTCATATGCAGCAGAGTGCCAGTACTAGTGCCGCTCTACCTTTTGGTGAACTGTCGAGTACCAGCGGTCTAGTACATCCTGGTCTTTCACATACCGCCTTGATTTTTGGAGCTGTTTTTCACGGAATATCTGTATGCGTTTGATTGTGGATCAAAGCAGTTTATATGCACAATTTATGGCGCCAACCCAAATTCAAACTTTGCCAGACCATTCGCATGGAAACTCATTATGGTTTTCAAATTTACATTTTTTTTGGGCCTAATCCTCAACATGGGCATTACTAAAAGAAATGAATTTCGGTTGTATTGGCCCGCAGACCCGATTCTTCATATGCCGTGTTCTCTGCTGCCATGGCCAGGCATAGATATGAGAGTATAATGTGTTTTATGCATTTCAGCGACAATACACTCTGTCATCCTCGGGGTAACCCTGAATTTGACCGGCTCCCACAAAATTCAGCCCCTCGCAAATCACCTTAACCTAAAATTTGAAGATGTCTATACTCCCCAGCAAAACCATCTGCGTTGATGAGTCCCTTATTAATTTTTCTGTCCGCCTTGCATTCAAACAATTCTCCCCAGCAAGCGTGCCAGATATGGGGTCAAGATGTAGAAGACCTGTGAGAGGACAACAGGCTATACTTATACGTTTCGGATTTACAAGGGAAAAGATGGAAAAAAAATAAGTCACGTGGAGCCCGCCCGGATGCCCAGACTACATGGCAAGATAGTTTGGGACTTGGTGTCATCATTTCTCCATATGGGGGGGTACCACTTATACGTAGACAATTTTTATTCAAGCGTGCCACTATTTAGACATTTGTTCAATCTTGGAACTGGCACTTGTGGCAAAGTGTGACCTAATTTGTGCCCACCATTAGAAGTGGGTGGATGCAGGGCGGTATATTCTAATGGTGGGCATACCACAAACTTTTTCTGGCAGAGATTTCTTCTCATTTTTTTCATTCAGTCCACAGCTGCATACAAAAAAAAAAAAAAAGAACATAGAATATATAACCAACAAGGACCAGCGATGTACTGGTACATCACTGGATTTGAATGGTTATACCAGGATGATGCCTACAGCTGCAGGCATCATCCTGGTATCGTTTTTTTTTTCAGCTGGCGATCGGCTTTCATGATAAAAAGCAATCCTAGTGGCTAATTAGCTGCAAGATTGCTTTTACAAGCAGTGGGAGATGATGTCCCCCCTACCCACTGCCTTCCACGGCCTTCTCGGGCAGTCCCGTGCCATCAGGGGAACCTGAGAATGCAGCCGGTGTTTCTGCCAGCTGACCATAGAGCTGATTGGAGACCAGAATGGTGCCAATCATCTCTATAGTCTAAGAATTCGGAAGCTACAAGCATTTCATCACTTCAGTTTTGCAGGATATAAACCGCGCCATTTGTAAATTGGGAAAGCATCTGATCACATTTTGGTTTGATTAGATAATGTAAGGGCAGAGGAGATATCTAGAGTCTGATAGACCCCAGATTTCTCAAAAAAAGAATATGACAATGCCCATTGAAGTTATAGGGGTTATTTGCATTCCCTGTTATAGCATTACAAGTAATAAAAAAAAAAAATGAAAGGTACAATGTAAAAAAAT